AAGGCAATTCCAACCTGTTCCCAATCTTTTAAATCCACGGGACCTTGTTCAGGAAACCAAGATACTGCTCTACTGTATGAAACAGAGTAATCAAGTTTTCTGTGCTAGCCTTTATTTTCCCCGTCTTTAAGAGGAGTTTGATAAAGTGTAAGTAAGCAGAGTGCTTACTTTCCGATTGTCACACGGTGTCCCTGGAATACTCCGAGTGCACAGGCTTACCTCAAGACCGACCACACGTTCTTGGCAGTCCCTCCACAGACTGGTCTCCGCAATGACTACGCTCAGGCGTAACTTCACCTGGGTACAAGAAGCCCACGTTGGGCACCAAAGATGTAGGGGAACCAGCCCGCTACACCACACGCGGGTTCTCCCCTTCCCGGTGGAGATGAGGGAATGAGAAGAAATAAAGATAAAGACACAGAGTTCAAGGGTTAACAAAAGTGGGTCTAGGGGTCCATCGCAACGCGGAAACTGCGAAGGGCCTGAGCTCCGGATTCCCCTGATGTTTATTGAGTACAATTCCTCTGATCCTATCGGCTGAGGGTGGGCAGATGGTGGGCTGATCATAAGGTGACCATGGGGAGAGGTGGCAGGGGGGTAGCGTGCGTCATCAGCAAGTTAATATTATTTACTATTCCACTATGTGAGCTAATACTCTATGTTTAACTTACAGATAATCATCAGAGTCCAACTAAGCAGTTAACAGAACAGAACAGAACAGGACGTGAAAGCAGACAGCCTGTCAGACCACAGGCCTGTGCATCAAAGGGGCGGTCCACTCCCAAGCACCATCAGCAGAGCAGCAGAGCTCTCCGCCTCTGGGAAGGAGCGGGAGATACACAAGACTTCCTCCTTATCTCTACCGCTGAGGACTTCTCCTCTTTTACAAGCAGCCTCCTGCAGTTCCCTTCTGGGGAACGGATCAGGGGTCGCTTCCCTTCCCAAGAGACCTTTGTTCAGGGACTCAAGCGGGAGGCTGAGCAATAAGCAAGCTTTCTTGCTTAGAGGCTCCACACACTTCCCGCGGTTGTTTGTTCCACTCAGTGGTCAGTCAAGGAAGCTCACCGCCTGATTCTTATATTGTTGGACTAAGCACAAGCTATTCTTATGGTTCATGACTATATTAATAAAGCACTATTCTAAAGCATATATTGTTATTCCTTAAACAGGCACACTGTAGGCCGGTCCTTGACCACCTGGTCCCACATCCAGGCCCTTTTTTAACCCACAAACCTCTCCTCAATACCAGTGTGTTTCACCCACTGTCAGGGTTTTACTTGTTTCCTTATCTAGACTGGGGAGAGTCTTGGATAGACCGGCCTGCCATCCAACATCCTTGGTTTTTAGCCCTTGAGATTATTTAGTTCTTCTGGTAAAGAGAGGGCATTCTCTCTTACCTGGTTAATCTGAATTCACACATGTTTTGCTAGTTCTTCCCTGACTTTGGGATCTTTCTCATGGAAGGAGAAATGCAATGTGGAAGCCTTTTTATAGTAAAATAAAATGTATAAGGCCAAGGTGGGTGGATCACGAGGTCAGGAGATCGAGACCATCCTGGCTAACACGGTGAGACTCTGTTTCTGCTAAAAATACAAAAAATTAGCCGGGTGTTGTGGCACGTGCCTGTAATCTCAGCTACTTGGGAGGCTGAGGCAGGAGAATCACTTGAACCCAGAAGGCAGAGGTTGTAGTGAGCTGAGATTGTGCCACTGCACTCCAGCTTGGGCAACAGAGTGAGACTACATCTCAAAAAAAAAAAAAATTATAATATATACAGCTGTAGCTTTCCTACATAATGCCATGAATTTAATGTGGATCATTGCAACCCCAATCATGCCGCATACTCCTCTGCTAGTCCATATGGATGCATATTGCCAATCTAGTTGTCACCTGCAGCTCTCCTTATTTCTGTGAATAAAAACTTATTTGACCCAGAAACCATCTTTTATAAAGTCACTCAAGATTATCCCCTATAACCACGACAATTGTGAGTCCTTATTTCATTTTGTTTTGACTAACAGCGTTTTTAAAGTAAAAGCTGAGGTTTAATTTTCATGCCTTTCTAACATTTTTCCTATGAATTGGGAAACAAAATCCATATCAGCCCATATTTCCATATTTTTGGAACTCCTTCACCTAATTATCCAATTTTTCTACTTAATTACCAACATATATCTAGTTATCTAGTTCTGGTTTAACTGTTTTGGTATAGGGTTGGTTGGAAACAAGGAAAAAGATATAGATTATTTTCCTCGTAGTTTTTAAGAATTGTTACTCATATCTCTTTGTTTAAACCTCTCCAACTTGGTGTGTCTTGGGAAGGAAGCAGTTTACTCAAGATTTTACTACATGATTGCAGCTTTGACCACATTTTCAGTGAATAGAGAAGACGGTATAAAAACCTACATACAAGAAAAATACAGAAAGAATCAGGTACTAATCACAACTCTGTAGAAGTAAAGCCATGTTACAACTGATGAAATATAACTACAGATGAAACTGTCAGAATCACAAGGGTTATATTTATTAAATGAGTGACTTTTGAAAGAAAAGAACATAAACTGGTTATGAAGGAAGGGGCAGTTTAGACTGTTATAAACGTTAATATTGTATGTCGACAGCAGTAATTAGATATTTTTAAATCTAATAATAAAGAATCCAAACTAGGCAGTAATGAGAGATGTTCTGGTAATTAGATATAGGGGAAACAGAGCAAGGCAAAAAGAGCCTTGAAACATTACTTATGCATGTGGATTTGATAGAATTAGTTGATATAATTATATAATGGCTGGTTGATTAGATTATATACATCAACCTTTAGGTTTCTGAACAAAAGAGTTATGGAAAAAAATTTCCCTCCCCAGACTCCAGAGGATGCTTGGCAATCAATGCCAGGAGACATTTTTGGTTTTTACAATGGGCAGGGGTTTGCTCTAGGTAAACAGTGTGTAGAGGCCAGGGATGTTGCTAAACCTCCTGGAATGCACAGGACCGACCCCATAACAAGAATCACCCAGCCCAAACTGTCAATAGTACCGAGGTTAAGAAACTCTGCGCTAGATTAAAAGGTAGAGAAATTAACAGTGCTAAAATTTAACCAAAATGTGTAAGAACTGGGTCAGAGGCCTCCAATGAGTCCTTCGTTTGGCATGACCAATCTCTTCTTCCATTAAGTTACCCAGAAAGCCAAGTCATATTTTTAAGGAATATTCAAAAATTAATTTTACATTCTGCTTTTAATAAATTTGGGGTTTATACCCATTAAAATGGATGAATCGCAGAAACACAATGTTGAATGAAAAAAGCAAGTCAAGCAAAAATATATTCAGTATGATATCATCTATATAAAGCTTGAAAACAAGCAAAATCAAACGTATTATTTAGGGATATCCATAGTCATATGAATAAAATGAAGGAATTACATTGAATTCCGGATAGTATTTACGTCTGCAAAGAAGAAGAAACAGTTTGAAGAAAATGCGGCAGGGAGTAGTCCTTAAACATCTTGATTAAGTTCTTTTTTTTTTTTTTTTTTGACATGAAGTCTTGCTCTGTCACCAGACTGGCGTGCAGTGGCACAATCTCCGTTCACTGCAACCTCTGCCTCCCAGGCTCAAGTGATATTGCCCTGCCTCAGCCTCACTGGGATTACAGGTTTGCACCACCATGTCAGGCTAATTTTTGTAGTTGTAGTAGAGGCGGGGTTTCACCATGTTGCCTTGTCTCAAACTCCTGACCTCAAATGATCCAACTGTCTCGGGCTCCCAAAGTGCTGGGATTACACGCATGAGCCACCTTGCCCGGACACATTTTGATTAAATTCTATTCAAGGTTAGTTTGTGGGTTCTTGAGTGTTTCGCTCATTATTATACTTTATGTATGTATGTATGTATTTGTGTATGTATGTAGAAACAGTCTCCTTAAGTTCCTCAGGCTGCTCTGGAGCTACTGGCCTCAAGTGATCTTCCAGCTTCAGCTTCCCAAGTAGCTAGGATTACAGGCGTATAATGCACCCGGTTGTCAATATTGTACTATAGAGTTTACATGTATGTTACATATTCTTTTGGCTGTATCAAAAAATCACATAATGAAAACAAATAACATCCAGTTATAAAGCAGTGTAGTGTCCCTGAAGATCTTCCCTTTAAGTTCTATCACCATCTGCAGGTTAAAATTAGGTATTGCAGAAAACTTGCTTTTCAAAGGATAAAAAGTACAAAAGGCTCGGTTTCTGTTACAGACATGCTTACAATCCATCTGTGGAGAAGGAGCCTAAAGATTAAAGAGATAAACAATATGGCGCCAAGTTTTTGGCTTTTTTTTTTGAGACAGAGTCTCGCTCAGGCCAGAGTGCAATGGCATGACCTGGGTTCACCGCTACCTTCGCCTCCCAGGTTCAAGCAATTCTCCTGCCTCAGCCTCCTGAGTAGCTGGGATTACAGTCACATGCCACCACGCCTGGCTAATTTTTGTATTTTTAGTAGAGACGGGGGTTGCACTATGTTGGTCAGGCTGGTCTCGAACTCCTGACCTCAAGATCTGCCCGCCTCAGCCTCCCAAAGTGCTGGGATTACAGGCGTGAGCCACCGTGCCCGGCTGTGTTATCTTGTAAGTACCACCTGGTTAGTACCACCTACCACATATCAAGAAACAGAAATAGTATTTTCACATCTTAACAACTGATTTAGTTTACATTAATAAAAATTTAACTCCCTTACTTTATTCATCCTGCTACTACCTCAGGCCAAGCCTTCATTACTTCATGACAGGTTGGCACCTGTTCTCCTTGTCTTCTCTTCCTAGTCTTTCCAAAACATTGCCACTAGATTGAAGCCTTCAAATAACCATTTCATTACAGCACTGCCCTCTTCCAAAGTCTCAAATGGTTTCACACTACTTGAAGAACAAAGCCCAAACTCTTTAGATAAGTAGTTGACTTTCTATAGTTTGGCCCCAACCTGCTAATAAACCTTGCCTTCTCCCACCTCCCCATCACTTACCATATGTAAATCCTCTACATCAGCCAGTCTGCTTGTTGTCCATCGCTTATTCTGGATGTGTGGTCTGTGTTCTTGGTATATCCCACTTCCTTGAACATCATTCTGCGATTTGGAACTTCCACCCCCTGCATATTTAATACATGTGTTAGGTTGTTCTCTTGAATGTGGAAAACTGAAATGCAGTTTCAGTGTTTATCTCTTAGAGGCCATTCTTCTGTTTCCTATCTACATTTCCACAGACTGCTGCCCCTAATTTCATCTTACCTATAAATCCTAGAGCTATCATTATCTCTGAGACAGAACACCCCTATTTCAAAAATCTAAATCACTAAAGCAGTCAGTGTCTACATCATATGTTTGGCATAGTGACACTCTATTAATACTAAATTGACTCATTTTGATAAAGTTTGTTTCTAAAAATAGATGTTAAATTTCTGAAAGCCAGGGATAATTTTGTCGCTTTCTGGTTTTTTTTTTTTTCCTTTGTAGGAGAACTACAAAGATCAGGAATGCTCATATTTGAGTTTGAGAACCTTTTTCAATGTAAATATTTCTCAAATTTCTCCTACCTCCTAACAAACAATAGTACTGACATTCTGGGGCTTCATACATTCAGAAAACATAATGACTAGTAGATATTATAGTTTCATGCTTTCGAATTTATTAGAATTATTTTAATGGTAACAGCTTCTACATTTCAACGTAAATATTTCTCAGATTCCTCCTACCTCCTAACAAACAATAGTATTGACATTCTGGGGCTTCATAAATTCAGAAAACATAATGACTAGTAGGTATTATAATTTCACGCTTTTGAATTTATTAGAATTGTTTTAATGATAAGTTTCTACATATGTTTAATAATAATACATATGTATAAAACAAAATAACGATGATAGCTAATATTTTGGGCCTCAACATACACTAGTGTTTTCATATGCATTTTATTTAATTAAAAAAATCTTTAAGGAATCAGGCAGACCTCCTTTTAAATCTAGGCTCTACCACTTGTAGGTGCTAAAAGTGTGATTTATATAACCTTTCATTGCTAAAACAGGTCAGATGCAGAACCAGCCTCTTCAGGGTAGCTGTCAGGATTAAGAAAATCACAACAACCGAAGGGCTTTACATTGTGCCTGGCATAAAATAAACTCTAAGAACATTCTTTAAAAAATCCCTTCAGGGTAGACAGTATTATTCCTTCTCCCTCATTTCATACACGGCGCAATTAAGGCTCAGAAAGGCATGTCGCTTGTCCAGGATCCTGGAGTGGTGGAATTAGGATGGGGCATTCTGGACTACAATAAACACCTGAGCGTTTAGCTGCTCTGTGTTCTGAGCTGCCACAGCACTTTTTTTTTACAACACGAAATTTATTTACATCACACTCCACTTTTCCGTCCTTCACTAAAATGAGCTCTTCAACGGCAGGGACTATATTTTTGCTACCTCAGTACTTAACGATACACGCACAGAATATGAGGAAACAGTGTCTGACAAACGAGTATTAGTGCAAACGATCAATGCACTCACTACTGAACCTACGGTGGCAAATTGCAGTGGGTTAGAAGAGCTTTATCTGAATTGTGTACCGAGATGCAGATCTACTGTTTTGGGAACAATTTGTTTTTGTTGTTGAGGCCCAGAAAGCAATTCCTCTTTTCACCTTTATTTTGCTTAAAAAGTTATCCCGTAATTTTAAACTGCGTAAAACTAGAATGCCCTTGCGCTCAATTAAAACTGACACGTGTTTTAACTTTCCAGTCAGGTACATTGAAGGCCTTGTCACTTTATTGATTTTTGTTTGTTTTTTAAAGACAGGATCTGCCAATTTACTAATCTTAATAGAGCTGTAACAGGAGAGTATAAATAAAAAGATAATTCAGAGAAAATTTACTGAAATTAAGTTTGGATTAAAATCATCTGGCTCTTTTAAGGAAAAAGGACATTAACCAAAACTAGCATTAAATATCAACAATATTTATGATTCTCCCACTCAGTAGTACATATGACGTTTGGCAAATTGTTTAACTTCCGTGGATCAATCCCCTCATATGTAAAATCAAGAGGCTGGACTACATTGTAAGTGTCCTTCTCTTTCCACCTCTTCGTGACCGGGTTGTGGGTGAGGAAGGAGCAGAAGAGCGATCCCGGTCTTGGCTCCTTCTTCCGGCACGGCCAGAGCTGACACCCCCACGAAAAAACTTCATGGCGCCTCGGCTTTCTCCACTGGTTGAGGGACCAATCCACTTCCGCATAGGCCTAGGGCCCCACGTTCCGCGATCAGCGCCGGCAGCGCACAGCATCCTGGGATCTGTAGTCCTCCACCTGTGGTTGGCAGGCGTTTAGAACACGGGGTCTAGGTGGCATTCTGGGATACGTAGTTCCTGGACGTGGGGGGCGGATTCGTTCGTTTAATCTGTTTTCGACTTAAAGAGCCAGAAGCGACACCACAGACTCCGGCGGGTCACATGACTCCAGTCTAGCGTGTAGAGCGCACTGCGGCTCCCGCCCGGGCGAGTTCTCGCCCCCGCGCGGCCGTTGCCGAGGAGACGGCGCATGTTCCGCCGCGCGTTCCCCCCTCTGCAGTCCCCCCGCCCCTCTTCTCCCACCACAATGAGAGCCTAAGATGGCGGTGGCTGCGGCGGTTGGCGCTGCGTAGCTGAGGTCGAAAAGGCGGCCATTGGCGCCAAGGCAGCCAGGAAACGTGTGGGCCTCTCTGCTGCGGTCTCCAAGGGCTGACCGCTGCCGGTGGCGGGTCGTGGGGGCTGACCGCCGCTCCGCCCTTGACGGGAGAGGCTGCTGCTTGTAGAGGTAATGCCTGCGCGTCCCCAGCCCTTGGCAACCGAGGGCGGCGCGCCCCAGGGGCGGGAGAGTAACGGCTCCGGGACACTTGGCCCTGTTGGGTCTGGCCACGGGCCCACGCCTCCTCGCTAGGCTCTCGGGTCTTCCTGCCCTGGGCTTCCTGTGCCCGAGGCGGACAGTCCGCCCCCTCCCTCAGGACCGACCGCCGGAATCCCCGGGTGAGCACCTCGGGACGCGTTGGTGACTGCAGGACCCCCTTCTTGCCTCCTCGCCCCTCTTGCTGGCCCTGCCGGGTAGGCCGCCCCGCGTCCCAGTGGCTCCGGGAATGCCCCTTGCGGGCGGAGGAAGCGGAGCAGGGGCTCTGGTTTGGGTGCCAGGGGAACCGGGTCGAGTTCTCAGAGAAACAGGCCTTGGTGGCCATAGTTCATCCCCGCGTTCCCTCCTGTTTTATTCTGTGGAGCTCTCGGTGTCCAGAGTTGGGGTGCAGAAGGGCGGATGAGGAGCGACGCGACTCTGAAGAGTTGCAGTTGGGTTTTGAGCTGCAGGATTTCCGCCGTCTCGGTGCTGTAGGAGCCGAGGGGCCGGGGAAGGCGTTCCTGGGAATGTTAATGTAGTTACTATTGCCCCTTTTTTCTCCTTTCCTGCAGATCTAGTTAGAATTGGGCCTAGAACCGGGAAAGAGTAAATGCCAAGTGGGACTGGGGGAAACGTTGCTTGGTTTGCAGAAACTGACGTTTGGGGATTAGGCCACGCCAGGGAGGCTGGGCGCGCCAACTTTGCATCCCTCAGACCACTCCCCAGGAACTCGCCTGGTTTATTTTATTTTATTTTTTTGGCTGGGCTGAGGTCTGTATCGTGTGTCTTACGGGTGAATGTTCGTGTTTGGGCGCTGGAAGAAGCGGGCTTTCTGGGCGCCCCTACCACCCCCGCCCCATAACTGCTTTCCAGACTCCACCTGCTGGTGTTCTCTGGTTACGGGAGTGGGTGTTGTAGAGCCTCGGGTGCACCTGCTCCTTTCTTTCCCTAGCACCTTCCTGGTGAGGGCCACTGAACACCAATATAATGCAGAGTTTTTGAATTGAAGGTAAACCTAGTATTTATGTAGTGAAAAGGTTATTTTATTGTGAAGTACAATAGCTTTTAAAAGAGCATTTTAAAATCATCGGATATACGAGGTTCTTAAATAGTTTGAGTAACAGGAAGCTCGATCAATCAAAGGAGTAAACTTTGGTATAGACTATTAAAGGATAATTAGGGCTAACCATCTTTGTTACACTGTTCCGAAGTAGATACTACTTTGCTGTTTGGTAGGATTTTAGAAGTTTGGAGGATTTAAGCATTAATGCATATCACACTATTTTCCAAAAGAATTCAGGTAACTTTAAAATATGGATAAATTATATTTGTTCCCTTCTTTTGATCTTTCTAAACCTATTTTAGACCAAAACTGTCGTATTTGTTATTCTATATTTCGTAGTGTAAGTAATTTACTTAAGTGATACATATTTTTAATCCTAAGCAGGAAACAGCTTTGAAGTGTGGAGCAGGAAAGGAGCAGTTTCTGAGCTGCAAAAACTAGTTTCTAAACAGGTAATTTGACATTATCATCTGTATTGTCCTTTGTATTAGAGTTGAAGACGACTTTATGGTGGACACTGCTATCAAAATAACAGTGCGTGACTGAGGACCCTCTCTGCTTAGTAAACAAACATTCTGGGTTCACCGCCCTGTTTGCTCTGCTTTTCGGCATGCTGCTTTGGCCTGCCCGTATGTCTTTGTTAGGAAAGGCCGTGTCATTCCTAATTATTAAGTACTAGAATGGTTTATGCAGTACCGTTTGAAATTTATTTGTTTTCTCAGAATTTTTTAACCTGTTTGAATTTGTCCTGTAACTGAATAGCCTCTCTTACCAAATCCATTTAATCTCGGGTTCTCTTCTACAACATTCCTATTAATTGGCTGTTCATGAACTCTACTTTTTGAACTTGTTATACCTTGGCCGAAGTTTAGTTGTTTGAAATTACTTTATTATTCTTTTTTATACTTCAATCTCCCTTTCCTGGTATAAAATTACTTTAAACATTACTTTTAGTGCATAGTCACATGCAAGTGACATAAAGGTATTCTCTGTCCAGTAGAATAAAGTCAGTGCTGTAGAATGTAAGTTTACTAGGAGAAGTTAAATAATTGTTTGCAAAGGACAGTTTGGAAAAATGACTAAAAGATAATTAGAAGTTTGTTAAAAGCTTTTTAGAAATAATATCTCTTCATAAAAAAACTTCAGAAAGAAATAAGCTACATTTAATTCTACTGTTAAAATTTTGAGAAAGTTCATTTTGAAAATTTTGTAGAAATCGGCTGGATGTGGTGGCTTACGCCTATAATCCCAGCACTTTGGGAGGCTGAGGTGGGCGAATGAGGAGGTCAGGAGATTGAGACTATCCTGACTAACATGGTGAAACCCCGTCTCTACTAAAAATACAAAAAAGATTAGCCGGGCGTGATGGCAGGCGCCTGTAGTCCCAGCTACTCTGGAGGCAGAGGCAGGAAAATGGCGTGAACCTGGGAGGGGGAGGTTGCAGTGAGCTCACATTGTGCCACTGCGCTCCAGCCTGGACGACAGAGCAAGACTCCATCTTAAAAAAAAAAAAAAAAAAAAAAATTTTGGTAGAAATTAATATATATTCTTACTTTCCACAAAAGCAGACAGATTTTTATTTTATAGCTCTCCTGTGAGGATATGAAATGAGACTTATGAGAAAGTACAAATAGGTAGTTGACGGGTATCTTATTTATACTTCTCAGTGGGTTTTTTTTAAATTGGAAGACTAACAAAACAAGGCAAGAAAAATGGAACTCAAGGGAAAGGTCACATGTGAGTGTGTATGAGAGTTAATACTAGAGTGATTGCTGTATGGTAGGCTTTAGTAAAATAAACAATAATTATAAAATTAGTTATAAAATTTTCCTTTTAGCACATTGGGGAAGATGATGGATAAGAGGAATAAAAATAAAGGGTAATTGAGTTAAATTGGAAAACCCGGGTTTTTTCAATAGGAGATTTGGCCATTTTCTTCTGAAGGAGGAAAGTGGATTTGAGACTTGGAGAAAGTAGTAAGGCTGTGAGATTCACAGTAGAGAACTAAGAAGGCAACCGGAGATACATAGCAGTACTTTCATTTTTACAGATTTGATTGAGTGCCTTGCAGCGTGCTGCGTAATAGCTACAGTACTAGAGATACAGCAGTGTGCAAAACAGACAGGGTGCCTTACCTCATGGAGTAAACTTACATTTTAAAAGTATATGTGTTATGTGGAGTGTAGCATCCCTTAATAGTGATCACAGTTAATGCCGTTTTATGACTATTTTCCCACTTTTTGACAGCTTAAGAATAGTAGCAGAGAAAACAGATGGTGGGGTTTAACCAGAATTGAGTTGACACAGTAGGCAAGTAGGTGAGGAAGTGAAGGTTGCTAGCTAGCAAGGCTTTTTTGGAATGACTTACTTGGGTTTGGGTTTGAGTAAGGAATCAAGGGATTGGTGGATTCAGGGAGAGAGAAATGATTAAGGGGCTGTTAGTATTCAGGAAGGCTAAGAGCAGTTTCAGCAGGAATAAAGTGAGAGAAGTAGAATGCAAAAACTTATGATCAGAAAGAGGAACTTCAGAAGTTCAGGATCCCGAACAAATGATCAGTTCAGTATTGGAATAGAGAAGATGAGATGGATATTGGAATTGAGGCCAGAGTCTTAGAAAAGTCATTGCAAGTGTTTAGGTCATGAAAGTAAGGAATGAAGTAGAGTGTGAAACCATGAGCCAGTTACTGTCAGGAAAATTACAAGAATGTCTTGGATAGATGTTTTCAGAGGGGACTATGAGTAATTTAATGCCGTTTGAGAAAAAAATAATTTTTTTCTTTACTGATTACTTTGGGTTTTTTTTTTTTTTTGGAGACAGAGTCTTGCTCTGTTGTCCAGGCTGGAGTGCAGTGGTGCCATCTTGGCTCACTACAACCCCCTCCTCCTGAGTTCAAGCAATTAATTCTCCTTACTCAGTCTTCCAAACAGCTGGGATTACAGGTGTGCCCCACCACACATGGCTAATATTTGCATTTTTAGTAGAGACAGGGTTTCGCCACGTTGACCAGGCGAATCAAGTGATCCGCCCGCCTTGGCTTCCCAAAGTTCTGGAATCACAGGCATGAGCCACTGCATCTGGCCTGATTATTCGATTACTTTGAATTTGTTCTTTACCTTATATTCTTATTTGAGAGGTAAACTGTAGTCGTAGGTATTTTCATGGTAATTAATACTGTGATATTCTATCATAATATGTCTGTAGTAGGAATCCTGCAACAGGATATTCTTTTTTTTTGTGATGGAGTCTGCTTTGTCACTCAGGCTGGAGTGTAGTGGCACAGTCTCGGCTCACTGCAACCTCTGCCTCCCAGGTTCAGGGGATTCTTCTGCCTCAGCCTCCCAAGTAGCTGGAATGACAGGCACATGCCACCACGTCTGACTAATTTTTGTATTTTTAGTAGAGACAGGGTTTCACCATGTTGGTCAGGCTAGTCTTCAACTCCTGACCTCGTGATCCACCCACCTTGGCTTCCCAAAGTGCTGGGATTACAGGCGTGAGCTACTGCGCCCAGTCTAACAGGATTTTCTTTTAAAAAAAAAAAAAAAAATTAGTCATTGAAAGTAGCTTAATACTGCCATAGTATATTTTCATTTTTGTGTCTTTGTATAAAAGATAAGCCCACTAAGGCTGTCAAAAATAGCTAAATGAAACTTGGAAATAATAGTTTCAACTTTGTTTAGTAAAGCATAGCATGAGTAGAAGTGTGTGTTTAAAGTAGAATGATTTTATTTTTATCCCCATTCAGCTGCCCATAGTACTGTCATCAATTACTTCTACCAATTGTTTTCTTATAGCTTCAACTTTCTTATCTTACTGTCTTTCTGTTAAACTTGCCTGGCAAAATTTCAACCTTGGATGAATTCAGTGGAGTGTTTATATTGAGGCTTATGAGCACTGCTGGAAAAAAATATTTGTAGTACTTGTTACATCAGTGAATAGTCTCTCACTTCCCTGAGTCCGTATTGCTGTTGAGAGTCATTCTCCTTTTCCTACTTTTCTACGATCTCGCAGACACTGCTGTCTCACCCTCACACTTAATGTACAGTCCTTCCTACTTCACAACACTTAGGAGCACCCTTGGTTTCCTACCACCACAGCTGCTAGCCAGCCTACAACCGATTCCATCCTTTCTTGTTTTTTCAGTTAAAGAGGTGTTCCTGTTCCTGTCTAAAGCTAATCGTTTGTCTTTTGCTCTGGATCCCAGTGGCCCCCGGTTTCTCAGAGCCCACATGCTAGTTGCTTATCTCCTTTCTCTTCTGCATTTTTAGTATCTCCCTCTTTTTTTTTTTTTTTTTTTTGGTGAGATGGAACTTCTCTCTTTTTGCCCGGGCTGGAGTGCCATGGCACAATCTCAGCTCACTGTAACCTCCGCCTCCTGGGTTCAAGCTATTCTCCTGCCTCAGCCTCCTGAGTAGCTGGGGTTACAGGCATGTGCCACCACACCTGGCTAATTTTTGTATTTTTAGTGGAGATAGGGTTTTGCCATTTTGGACAGGCTGGTCTCAAACTCCTGGCTCAGGTGACCCACCTGCCTCGGCCTCCCAAAGTGCTGGGATTACAAGCATGAGCCACCACACCTGACCAGTATCTCCCTGCTTACCGACACATTGTAAACATACTCGATACTTCCGTTTTAATAAAACTTTCTTTATGACTGTCTCTGCTTGCTTCTCATCATAGGCTGATTGCTTAAAAATGTTAGCTAATTACTTCCTTTATTATTCCCCTTCCTCCCAATAATACATTCCAGTTACGGAATTAACCCTCACCACCCCTGCTGAAACTTCTCACCAAGGTCAACAGTAACCGTGTTGCTAAATCCAGGACGATACTTCTCAGTCCTTCTTTTATCTGGCAAGGTAACTGTTTGGTTTCTTATCACATTCTCCTTGATATACTTTTCCCCTTTTGACAGGCTCTCCTGGTTTCCCTCCTATCTTTCTGTACCTCATTGGTATATTAGTATGTCCTTTTCCTCTGCCTCTCTATTTAATACCAGTGTATTTAAGATCTGGTCTTTTCTTACTCTTTATTGTCTCCCTGAGTCCTCTGTCCCACTTTTTGAGTGGATGACTCTCCAGCCCTGATTTCTCTCTTGAGAGATAGGTCACTATTTGTCAACTAGACAGTTTAATTGGGTGCACTATAGGCACCTCAAACTCAGCATTTTTATAACTTGAACTTATCATCTCTCAACAAAGAAAACTTGTTGCTTTTCTAATCAGTTTAACTGTGTGTCACATACGCAGTTTCTAGCGACCTAGGGTTTATCCTTTAACTCCACTTCCTTAACGCCCACGTCATAATACAGTAGTTTGCCCTTTTCTGTAGGGATACCTTCCATAGACCCCCAGTGCATGCCTGAAACTGTGGGTAGTACTAAACTCTGTGTGTATGTTGTTTCCTGTATGTACATACTGTGATAAAGTTTATATATTAGGCAGAGTAAAAGGTTAACAACTAATAAGATAGAATAGTCACAACAATATACTGCAATAAAAGTTATAAGAATGTGGTCTTTGTCGCTGAGAATAACGTATTATACTGTACTCACCTGTTTTCTGACCATGGTTGAGTGTGGGTAACTATAATCCTGCAATACAAAACTGCAGCAAGGGGGAACTATAGTCACCAAGTTCTGTTGATGCTGCCCAGAAATTTTGCTTGAATTGGTATTCTGTACATCCTTAGTCTTTTTGTTATTGGAATACTTTCTGTACTTCTGAATACTAGTTTACATTAATGTGTTTGCAGAATAAAATTTAGAAGGCAGAGATCCTGTATTTTTAATGGTGACATTGAGGTGGTTAAAGAGGTTAGCATAAAGAAGAGAGAAATAACATGCTGTTACCTCTTATGAGGGAGATACTTAAAATTTTTGGGAAATGTTGTGAATGTTAATACGTTAAGAATTGATCCATATGCAATAATTTCTTTAGCTTCATACTTACAGTTTTACTTTTTAAAGGCATACTAATACCGTGCCTTTTAAACACATTTGGTATCATCATTATTAAGTTATAAAGTATTCTACCCCCATGGCGGTCACAGTGTAATAGTGGATGAAATTGTTTATTTTACCAACTTACTAGATAAGATTTTACTAATTTTTCTTTTAAAATAATTGAAAAAAAAATCTATTTTTCTCAAACGAATTACAGTGTACAGTTTTAAAATTGTTTTAAAACCTTATTTTAGTAGTGTTCAAAGTCATTAACCAGAAATAGGTCTTTGGAACAAGCTCTGCATTTTAGGGGGAATTTATTGTAATAGGAAAATAGAAGGTAAAACATTCTTTCTAGTTTTTTTTTTTTTTTTTAAGATGGAGTCTTGCTCTTGCCCAGGCTGGAGCGCAGTGGCGTGATCTCAGCACACTGCAACCTCCGCCTCCCGGGTTCAATTGATTCTTCTGCCTCAGCCTCCATAGTAGCTAGGACTGCAGGCATGTGCCTCCGTGCCTGGCTAATTTTTGTATTTTTAGAAGAAATGGGATTTCATTATGTTGGCCAGGCTGGTCTCAAACTCCTGACCTCTTGATACACGCACCTCGGCCGAGATACATTCTTAATACATTTATCTTACTTTACTGTTGCTTCATTATTCTATTGATAGAAAGTGTAGCTAACATACTCTTTTAAGATAAAAATGATATGTAATAATTTTGACTTAAATGTCTTAATTTTCCCTTCCAATTTATGTTTCAAAGCAATTGCTTTTAGTAGTTTTAAATATGGCATCACTTCTATTGCATGCTTGTTTTATTCTTCAATATTACAAATTATGTGATATGTAGAAAACAGTAGTTGCAAAATATTTTATTTAAATTAGTCATTTTGGTTCACTGTGTGTACTTCTCTGGATATTAATTCTTTTTTAAAGTTTTAAAGTATATTTCTAGTATAAATAATTATGTAAACTGTTTCCTGAAAATACATGAGACCGAAAAAAGAAGAAAGATCACCAGTGCCTACCCTGTAACCAATAATTGCTTTTGTGAAAGCATTTTAATAAAGTTTCTTAGCTTTGTTTAAAAAAATTTATATATAATTTTTTATACAGCTGTTTTACTTTTTTATATTACTTTTTCCATGATATAACGACAGGTTATATTGTCCAGTCTTCATAATTACATATTTTGAAGGGTACTTAGTATTCTACCCTGCAGGTGTAGTACAGTTTGCCTAAAAGCATTGATTTTTGTCCTTTGACGTTTAGTGTTATATTTTAATTTATCACAATTATAGCGTAATAACTTCATTATAGTTCTTTCCACCACATTTAAGGTTGTTTTCTCAGATTACTTATGAAGAGGCAGAATTACTACGTCAAAAACTCAGTTTTAGTTCTTGCTACAGTATTGCCTAAATGCTTTCCAGAAATGTTATTCTGGTTTATATTCTCAATATAGTGTCAGAGAATTTCATTTTCCCTTTACTACCGTGAGAATTAGATAATATGTAATTTATATGAAAGTTAGCAAATGTAATAGTTTATTTTAATTTGCAACTGGACTTTATATATTCGTGTTCTTTTTTTTTTGCAAACTACTTGTTTTGCTTGTATTTCTCCAGTTTTATTTTTTTAAAACAAATTCTCTGTATAACAAAGGTATTAACTATACTTCATGTCTCTTTCAGATTTTTTTTCTCCCAGGCTCTCATTTACTATTCTCAGCACACTTAGGATTTACTTTTATATGAATAAAATCTGTTGAACTTTTTATTTTTTATTTCTTTGTGTTCTCAATTTAGTAAGTTCTCTGTTTTAAAAAGCATTCCATTTTCTTGTCTTTTACAAATCTTATGTTTAAAATTCTGTTTTAATCTTTGACTATTTTGATGGTGTGATATAAGGCAGCCTTTCTCAGTTGGGAGAGAATTAAACTCTAATACCCTAAGGCATCTGTTGTTTACTGTGAATTCACTTTTTTTCTATGTGTCTGGGATGGATGGTTCTGGATATGTACTATCCTTGGGAGAATTGAGAAAGTAGTGACTCAAACCATTTTTTTCTCTCTTCTGTGACTGAGGTGAAGAATACTAAGAAAAACTGTTAAAGCTCTAAATGTGTGGTTTTCAGATCTGTTAGCAAATTGCTCACTCCTACATCATAGAATTGTTGTGAGGGTTAAATGACATAATGGACATAAAATATTTTAGCATGGTGTTTGGCATATAGTAAACAAAATAAAATGTGTTAGCTGTTACTAATTTTTCTTAACCACATTTTTCTGATTGCATGTATTTGAGTGTTTTTGTTCCTCAGCTAGTACTAATTTAACCATATAGACGGCATTGTTGAAACTATATAGACAGCTAACTTGGATTAGCTTTCTAACCTCCTGACCTCTGTTGCTATTCTTGCTTTTATTTTACAGATGGTAGCTTTTTTTCTGACTTATTCATTCTTCCAGATAAATTTTAGAATTGTCAAGTTCTAAGGAGAATTCCAGTGGAATCTTAATTGGAATTAAATTAAGCCAATATACATTTAGAAAAAGTGATTGATTGTAATATTTACTTTCCCATCATGGAAGATACTTTTTCTACTTATTCACATTTTTTCTCCCATATTGTTTTATAGAGTTTAATAGTGCTTCTTGACATGAAGCCAATTTATTATTCGTAGACATTTTATATATTTGTCACCGTTATGAGTGGCATCGTTTTTTCCCCATTATGTTTTCTAAGTGGTATTGGTGATATTTTGATGTTCTCTAGATTTTTAAAAACACTCTTTAAGAATACCACCTTTTCTCTTTTCATTGTTAATATTTGTTTCATATTTTTCTGCTTGATAGAATTTCTGAAAGAATGCTAAATAACTGATATGTAGCATTTTTATTTTGGTCTTTATTAGGGATGTCCTTCATGTCTTATTTTAAGCATAATGTTGACTATTGGTTTAAAATATACTTCTTTTCAACTCTTTAGAGAATTATTAAAGTAATATATGCTCATTAAAAAAATGAACAGTAAAATATAATGGAATGGTCAATGTATTTGTGATTTTTAAGATTTTTAAAATAAATATTTTGTTGAATTTTTATCATTTTTGAGATAAAATTTAATTTGCTATATAATTTGTTAATGTAATGTGTTATTCTAATAGATATTCTAGCATGAAAACATCTGTGGGACAAATTGTACTTTTTCAGAGTTGATAATCCTTTTGATATTTTTTCTGTAGTGAATGGGATGAGTTAAGATCTCAGAATTAAAGCAACTTGGGTTTTTATAATTATTACTATTTAATTTTTAATTTTTAATTTTTTTTTTTTTTGAGATGGAGTTTCGCTCGTTGCCCAGGCTGGAGTACAATGGCGCAATCTTGACTCACTACACCTTGGCTTCCTCTGTTCTCCTGCCTCAGGCTCCCAAGTAGCAGGGATTACAGGCACCTGCCACCATGCCCGGCTAATTTTGTATTTTTAGTAGAGATGGGGTTTCACCATGTTGGCCAGGCTGGTCTTGAACTCCTGATCTCAAGTGATCTGCTCATCTCAGCCTCTCAAAGTGCTGGAATTACAGGCATGAGCCGCTGCAACCAGCCTATTAATATTTTTTATTGCCATTTTTTGCTGAATGACCTTGGCCAAACTGTCTCTTTCGAGTGTCAGTGCTTTTGTTTGTAGTTTAATGGCTTTTCCTGTCCCTTGAATTTTAGATAAAATTATCTCAACCTCTCCTCTTTCAACTAGCACCCCTTCAACCTGTACAATTCCACAGCTAGTAGAAATCCAAAGTCTTCCGCAAGATTATGCAGAAATATTATTTTCTGATGATCATCTCTGCCTTTGAACCTCTACTTCCACCATTGCTGATGCTTTTTCTCATCTCTTTGACCCAGGTATGAAATTCAGTCCCTTTCTTGATTTTCACATATACAAGCAAAAACCCCATTTTTATGGGGAGGATTTGAGTGTGGTAGTCTTTAACAAGATTTAGAGAAAGCACTAATACAAATTAAAGTAGGGTAGTAAGCATCGCTATTCTTAAAATGTCTTCTAGCCACTGCACTTTTGGATTTTTTGGCCCTAGTCCTGCTTCTCTTTCCCCACTTTCTTATCATCTTAGTATCGTACCTTCCTTCCTGATAAAACCAAACTTTCTTCTTGTTTCTTGCAGCGCAGTTCTCCCCTCTTTGAATCTTTGGCACAGAACTAATGCCTGTATTCAGAGTATCATCTTCATCCCAAGTCCATTGTCAGAACAGAGATACTTTCTTTCCTGAGAGAAGTTCTGGTTCTAGCTGTTTATGACATTTTTCCTACCTTATTGTTCTACCTTTTGGGACTGTGTTGAATTAAGTAAGTAATCTTACTTAGTATGCAGACTAGTGCGCATAAGGTATATTCAGGGATTTTCCTTTCTCTGTCATTCCAACTACCAACTCATTTTAATCATAATATGCCTATTGCAGCTAAATCAGTTTGTTTGTGATGTGGTTGACAGTGCCTCATTTTAGTTCATAAAATCAGTGCTTCAATGATTGTATTGCTACACTTCTTGGAGTGATTTAAAAAACGAGTTTGTTTTTATGTGTTAAAGCTCAGTTCTTAACTTGTTTTGCAGAGAGTTAATTGTTAAAGCCAGTATGGCCACAGGAGGAGGTCCTTTTGAAGATGGCATGAATGATCAGGATTTACCAAATTGGAGCAATGAGAATGTTGATGACAGGCTCAACAATATGGTATGATACCTTACTCTTCATGGTGTGTTGTTGGCTATTAATGTTAAAATGCAATTTGCCCCCTGACCAAATTTAGCTCACCGATGCTCTTTGTAAACACTTTCTGGCCAAGATATTAAGGGTCCCTGGGCTGTTTACTATATTAATTGAAGACACAGAAATCAAATTGAGTTAGCTTTTAAGCCAGAAAGAAGATTTACTATTATATAAAGATGTAAAAGTGTTTTTTTATGGAAATCATGTTTAAGGCATGCAGCTGGGTTTTAGGAAGGGACTGGGAGAAGGAATTGGAAAGTTGTCAAGAATTTTCACCACCCTAACTCTGCTTCTGAGTGCATCTGCCTAACACAGCTTTCTCTTTACAGACCAGTTTTCTCTCCTCTGGTCCATGTGATATACTGTGGCTGTCCCGTCGTTCTAAAGTTTTTAATTATGGTTGCAGTTATGTACTGACTAGTTATCTCTTAGTTCCAATTTGAAATTTTAAAGTATGATTATGCTAATTTGGATTAGATATGTTTCTTTTTTCAGTCTTCTGTGGCGAGGATGGGGTGAGGTAAGTAGTGTAACAGGTTGGCAGAAATATTCACTCATAGATTGGGTGGAAGGACAATTCGTAAAGAAGGGAGTTTTGTTAAAATAAGGAAAATATCCCAAGTGGTTTGCTATACTAGTAACTAAAAGAGTCTTCCAATTGGATAAAGTGGGAATTTACAGACCTTTTTGTTGAATGAATTAGGTTATGTGGGTATAATGAAGTAAATAAAAATGTTTTCCAGTTAAAACTATAAGTACTTTTGTAATTCCATATTAGCTATTATCATGTACATTTTTATCTATAAAAATGAAAGTTATATTTATTGCTTGCTAAATGCTAGGTACTAATTCTTTTTAATCCTGTTTTGAAGGTGACACTATTTTAGAGATTAGGAAACTGAGACTATAGGAAGTGAAATAAATAGCCTAGGGTCACGCAGGGGAGTGTTTTTTCAGAAAACAGTAATTAGTTTTAGAACCTAGGTTGATTGGATTTCAGATCTTTTTATGATACATACCGAGTTTATAGGAGGTCAGTAAAGGTATTTAATTTATTTCTCTATTTATAATAGAAAATAACAGTGTAAAAAATCCTCTTGGAAATACTCAGATTGATTTTAGGGTTGGCATTTGAGGATTTGTATTTGTTAGTGATCTTGATAAGAAAATAATCTATTTTCAGAAGGATGGGCTATAAAATTAGGGTAGATGTAATGAGGGAAAAATGGGTTAATAGAAGTAAATAATGGTCTTTAGGAGTGTAAGTCTGTCAAAAATGTTTTGTCATTTTTAATTTTAAAACTGACCAAAACTTTTTAATTATACCAAACTATTTTCCTGGTTTGATAGAGACCAGGTTAACTTTTTCTTTTACTTTTTTTAAAGGATTGGGGTGGCCAACAGAAGAAAGCAAATAGATCATCAGAAAAGAATAAGAAAAAGTTTGGTGTAGAAAGTGATAAAAGAGTAACTAATGATATTTCTCCGGAGTCGTCACCGGGAGTTGGAAGGCGAAGAACGAAGACTCCACATACATTCCCACACAGTAGATACATGAGTCAGATGTCTGTCCCAGAGCAGGCAGAATTAGAGAAACTGAAACAGCGGATAAACTTCAGTGATTTAGATCAGGTTTGTGAATTATTTTTAAAAATCAAGTTATTACTGTGAGAAATACTTGAAATGGATTAAATAATTTGTCTTAGGAATAGAAAATTGAGTTTTTATGTTACTTTTTAAAAAAGTGTCTGTGCCTACGAAAAGAATTTTCATCACTGGGGATGGTCCTGTGTTGTTTAGAGGGAAATGAAGTCTCATTTCTAAACTTGCTAAAGACATGTATTTCTGGACTTTATACTATGTTGTATGATTAACTCAAGTGATTTTACTATGAAACTAAATTTTGCTTTTTAGTAACTGAATAAAATTGATATTAAGTAATGGAAAGTTCCAGTTTAGTATATATATCATTGGCTAAGTGTGGGATGTGGTGGGTTACCTCAAGTTTAGAATGAAACTATTTTCTATTTATGATCACCAAAATAAAGTTTAGATCTTAAAAGCAAGTAAAAATGATAATAAATTCTTCACAAATATTTTACTGTCAGATCTTTATGTCATACAGACACACACATTTCCAAAAATGTAGAAAGGTAGATTCAAGTCGGATAATGATGTTGGTGATGATCATGTATCATTTATTTGTATCTATCAATTATTGAACACTTAACTGTCAGGCACTGAGCTGAATACTTTTTCAGACAGTTCTTCATATAGACACAGCTTTAATTACATTGATTCATTGGGTCCAAAGCCTATAAAAATACTATAAGCAAGTAATAAAAACCAGTATGAGTTAAAATGTGATCCATGGTCCTAGGACATGTTGAGCATCCCTAACACGAAAATCTGAAATGCTCCAGAATCCAAAACTTTTTAAGTGCCGATATGAGTGGAAAATTTCACACCTGACCTTGTGTGACGGGCTACAGTGAAAACACAATCAAAACTTTGTTTCGTGCACAAAATTGTTAAAAATATTGTATAAAATTACCTTCAGATTATGTGTATAAGGTGCATATGAAACATAAATGGATTTTATGTTTAGACTTAGGTCTCTTTCCCAGGATGTATCTCATGTTTATGCATATATTCCAAAATTTGAAAAAAAGTGAAATTCGTAACACTTCTTGTCCGAAGTATTTTGGATAAGGAGTACTCAACCTGTACTTCATTTAGACTAATCTTGTTCATATTCATCGGTTGAATTGTCTCAACAAAATGAAGTCTAGAAAATGCTAATCAAATTTTCATATTTTAGTGAAAGACTGTTACAGAACCAAAACTCTTTCAGTTCTTACTGCAAAGCTGTTTGTGCGCACCTTCTGAATCAATATCTGATGGTGAAACTAAGAACGTTGGGGTTAAAACAAAATTTTGTCATAAGATTAATGTTTGTGTGATTTGATTTCTTTTTCATATGTAGAGAAGCATTGGAAGTGATTCTCAAGGTAGAGCAACAGCTGCTAACAACAAACGTCAGCTTAGTGAAAACCGAAAGCCCTTCAACTTTTTGCCTATGCAGATTAATACTAACAAGAGCAAAGATGCATCTACAAGTCCCCCAAACAGAGAAACGATTGGATCAGCACAATGTAAAGAGTTGTTTGCTTCTGCTCTAAGTAATGACCTCTTGCAAAACTGTCAGGTGTCTGAAGAAGATGGGAGGGGAGAACCTGCAATGGAGAGCAGCCAGGTGATAACATTTCTTTCTTTTGCTCGTTCTTTTCACAAAGCTCAAAATACTAACATGAAGAGGTAAAAAATTAGGTTATGCACACAGGAATTTTAGTTAGGTGGAATTAAAGTGCTTCACTGATCCCCTTCCTTAGTCTGCCAGATTTACTTAAAATAGAGTAAATTTCTGTTTATCCAAAATAATTTTAGAAATGGCATATTCAGGTTAATTAAGGCTTCTGTTTATTTGCAATATAGCATATTGCCAGTTTTTAGTAAAGGGGGATTGGAAGCAAAGTGATAAGTAGATTTTTGTAGGAATGTTTAAAAATGGCAATATAATTCTTTTGGAAAGTAGTTGCAAAACTATAATACGTATAATTTATAACTTATGTAAACATTAGGAAAATTTATATAAATACTTTAGTGTGCAGTTGTAGAAGTAAAATTTTTCACATACTGTAGATTAAAATTTTTAAATTTATTTTTAAATTGACAGCGATTGGAGTTTTTAGTGTTACTAATTATGTTTTGATTAAAATCTAAGCTGGATTCCGATTTTTTGCATGTATTAATTCACACAGTAATCCAAGTATCTTTCATTATCTTCGAAATAAAAATTAAACTGTTGCTGTTGAACTAATTATCCTCAGTTTTATATATTGTGTGCTTTCATGCTTTTTTTTTTTTAAATATTTCCCCTGCAGATTGTAAGCAGGCTTGTTCAAATTCGTGATTATATTACTAAAGCTAGTTCCATGCGGGAAGATCTTGTAGAGAAAAATGAGAGATCTGCTAATGTTGAGCGCCTTACTCATCTAATAGATCACCTTAAAGAACAAGAAAAGTCATATATGAAATTTCTTAAAAAAATCCTTGTAAGTATTAGACTTTTAAAATAGTATATTGAGTTATTTCTGTAGTATCTCAGTGTATATTTACTGATGACATTCTGTTGCCACGCCAGAGGAGTTAACATATTTTCAAAAAATCGTGCCATCCATTATAACATTTTATTGCCCATTTTAATAGCTGTATGATTTATACCACTAAAATATTTCAGGCTAGAGAAAATGAGGAGGAGGATGTTCGGACTATAGATTCAGCTGTGGGATCTGGTTCTGTAGCTGAGAGCACATCGCTAAACATAGATGTGCAGTCTGAGGCTTCAGATACCACGGTAAGCAGCTTTTTGGTAATTAAAGTGCTGGAAATGAAGGTTTAAACTTTTCTCCCAGTTTTCAAGATGTTATTTTCTAGGCGTTCCTTAATGAAAAGTGTATTCCAGGGAAGAAACCCTCAAATTGTTAATGCTGCATGTATTCTGTATTTAAACATGGAAGTTAAGTTTTATTTATTAACGCTAAAAATAATTTTAATGGTTGATTTGAAAATGTAATTTTTGATCTTCAATTTATAGAAACATTGTTTTTGTAGTTTGTTTTGTTAAGCAAAGCTTCACTAATTTTAAGAAGCATCAAACAAGTTAAAATTGATGGTGGAATTAAGGGCAATAGGCAACATTAGTGATTACTTAGCATATAGTCTTTTGGAAATAACCAAGTTCATTTGTCACTGAGGACTCCTTAAGGATATCAGAATTTTTCATTTCTTGGACTCTATCCTAGTACTGGAGCAAAACCAAATGACTGAAAAATTGAGATAAAAACTAGTAAATGGGACAGGATAGCATTTACATTGTGATTTATTCACAATGAGAAAAATGCTATAATTGCTGACTTTGCAAAATCAAATTTGTTGAAGTAAAGTACTGCTTTTCTGAAAAATAGTAATTTACAAAACTTTGAGGAAAGATTTATAAAACCTGTTGTGGTTCAATGCTAGGGTGTTTCTAGGCATTTTAAACAGGTGTGCCTATAACCGTGCATTATTAAACTTTTAACACCTATTACAGATTAGTAAAGCTTTTGTTTTGAGAGGATAAGCATGTATCTCTTCGGGTTTTGAGGTATTGAAAATGCCATTCAGCATTAGGAATTTGAAGGTTTGTTTCCTATTAGTATTGACCGCATAGTTCTTACCTGCCTCCTTTCTCTTCCCGGACCTTCCTAATTTGAAGAGGCAATTTGAATTTCTTTTCTTTACATTATTTTCAACAGGAGATACTTGGAGAGCCAAAGTTGTTGAAGAATGGATTTTACTGTGGGGAAATTGTTTTTCTATTTACAGTGGTGCTAGGCATAATTTCTTCCTTAGATTCCAGCAGAAATGAAAGGGTTAGGACAATGTGGGTAAAGGAATTCTGTTGGGAAGGGGTGGGAACTTGTGTAGATGTATTGTAATTTGTATAAAGTATTCATTGTGATGACAGTTTCTTTCATAATATAAAATGATGATATGAAAGTTGGCTAATAACATGTAGCAGAATAAATGTTAAAAATGTGCTTTAACAGTTGTGTAGTGTGGTAATTACCCAGGGTGTGGTACTTGCTTAATTACAGTAAGCAACAGTCTAGTCTACAGAAAACCTAAAAGACTAAGTTTACTAGGCCGGGCGCAGTGGCTCAAGCCTGTAATCCCAGCACTTTGGGAGGCCGAGACGGGCGGATCACAAGGTCAGGAGATCGAGACCATCCTGGCTAACATGGTGAAACCCCGTCTCTACTAAAAATACAAAAAACTAGCCGGGCGAGGTGGCGGGCGCCTGTAGTCCCAGCTACTCGGGAGGCTGAGGCAGGAGAATGGTGTAAACCCGGGAGGCGGAGCTTGCAGTGAGCTGAGATCCGGCCACTGCACTCCAGCCTGGGCGACAGAGCGAGACTCCGTCTCAAAAAAAAAAAAAAAGACTAAGTTTACTGCCACTTGGAGGGGGATGTGGATTGATTTTTTTTTTTTTAAAGGTAGACTAGTACTTTTTAAGTTGTTTTATAAGGCTGGCTTATATGTTAAACAGGAGTTTGTGTTAAGAAATTAATATGCTACACTATTTAATAAAGGAGGAGGCATCTTTTAGTCTGAGAGTTCGGCCATGCATTGAGGACAAACTAGGGAATTCAGCTTCACAAGAACAGGTTTCAGACATTGACGTTACTACAAGTCCGAAAGGGAAAGGTGACAGACCTCAGAATGACAGGGAACTGAGGCCTAATAGGAAATATAGCCGAAAACATGGATTTCCCTCAAAGGTATACTTTCCAATATTAACTTGGGAAGTCTTTAAATGAGCACTTCTTTTGTTCATATTTCTTCTTCTTTATTTGCTTTTCTGTTGTTGCTATTACTTACATATTGTTAATATAGTTGTCATACTGTAATTTGCTTTAGTAAACTTCTGTCCCTTAATGTTTTTCTTTTCTACTTTTTTATATACCTCTCCATGGATTATATCTGACAGCTGTTTTTAATTTACATTAACAGAGGTTTTGAAATGTAATTTATTCCCTTTTTTATAACATGTTCTGAAACCTCAGCCATCAGTCAGTTGCCCTTTGTTTCTGATATTCGCGTTCATAAATGTAGATGGGGCCAGGCGTGGTGATCCTAGCACTTTGGGAGGCCGAGGCGGGCGGATCACCTGAGGTCAGGGGTTCGGGACCAGCCTGGCCAACATGGCGAAACCCTGTCTCTACTAAAAACACAAAAATTAGCCGGGCGTGGTGGCGCACGCCTGTAATCCCAGCTGCTCAGGAGGATGAGGCAGGAGAATCGCTTAAACCTAGGAGGTGTAGGTTGCAGTGAGCCGCTGCACTCCAGCATGGGTGACTGAGTGAGACTGTCTCAAAAAAAATAAATAAATAAAAATAAAGAAATTTAGGTGGTACTTTAGTATCGGATTTTTTGGTTTATATTTTTGTTTTTGGAAACCCCTTTCCTTTGCTTTTATAGAAAGATTATCCAGCTGACTTGGTGGCCTCTGTTTTGTTTGTTTTTTCTGCAGTGTTTCTTTTAAAAGGTTTTTAAATTTTCCATTATTTGCATAATGGCATTCCAGATAGAGTTAAAGACAACTATTTGTAGTTCCACATAAAAGAGTTTGAATAGGCCGGGCAAGGTGGCTCATGCCTGTAAATCCCAGCAGTTTGGGAGGCCGAGGCGGGCGGATCATGAGGTCAGGAGATCGAGACCAGTCAGGCCAGCATAGTGAAACCCTGTCTCTACTAAAAATACACAAAAAATTAGCCAGGCATGGTGGTGTGAGCCTGTAATCCCAGCTACTCAGGAGGCTGAGGCAGGAGAATCACGTGAACCCTGGAGGCGGAGGTTGCAGTGAGCTGAGATCACGCCACTGCACTCCAGCTTAGGCAACAGAACGAGACTCCGTCTCCAAAAAAAAAAAAGTTTGAATAAAAATATCATTTATAAAAGTGCATGTATCTGTTGGCAGGAGCAAGGTACTATTTTAATAATTGAGTATAGGTAAGACTAATTTCATATGTTTTATTACTGGTTTATTACCTAGGACTACACTCTCCCACTTTCCCATATTGGCTTACCAAGATCCAGATAGGCTAGTTGTTTCCCATGCTCATTTTATGGTTTTTTTTTTTTTTTTGGGTGTGTGTGGCTATTTACAAATGATAAAACTTAACCTCTAGATATTTTGGCATTTTGTGTTTGTTTATTCTGGTTCCTACAAGAATTTGGGAGCACAGTTTGAAATTAGTTACGGGAATCTTACTACATCAAGTATCAAGTAAAAGCTTCCCCAGTTCAACAGTAAAGAAAGTAACTGATTATTTTAAAAACTAGTAGCATTGGAGAAGAGCAAATAAACATGAAGCATAATCGGTAACCTTTGGAAGTTTCTTCTCTTTAATCCTTCTGAATAGTGACAAGCAAATTTAAGAGTTAACAGTTAATACAGTATCTGCCAGTTCTTTTTTTCTTAAGGCATTACATACAATTTAAAAACCACTTTTCTGTTTTTAGGTTTCTTTGAATAATATCCTTATAGGTGAATACTATTCTGTCTTGAATTTGCTTATGGTGTTTATTCCAGTTTGACTTTGTTGATTCTTAAGGCTGTCTCGTTGTTCTGTTAGTATTCTGTTTGCAAAATTATTTTAATTTCTTCAGGGAAAGAAATCTTAATTCCCACCACCTGTGTTTATTTTTTCTCTACTGTGCAGGAACTGTCATTCTCACCACCCCACCCCCTTTTCCTCCTTAGAATCTTTTCAAAATGTAGTATTTTCTGTTAGAATAGCGGAAAACATAGTTGAGGGTCTTACATGAGATTCAGGGTTGAAAGCAACCTTGAGACTTACACATGTTATGAAATGATTGATATTCTAGAGCTGCCTACCAACGGCACGTTCTACTTTACGGAGTATTTTAAGACATGATGACATCTTGCATAATTTTACAAAAGAAAGCCTTCTGTGAGTAGCCATGCCTTCATTATTTTCCTATACTCATGGCCCCCAACTTAATCTCACCTCTTAAAATTTATAAGCTTTCTTTGTACCTTGTACCTGTGTTTTGCCATTATTTTAATCATTGCTCGTTATTTCATGTGAGCTTGCCCTGTCTTGTAAACTAGCTATGGTTCTTCAGATATGATGTCTTATACTTTTGTATTTAGAAACCAGCGCATAATTTGGAGGAGACAATATGACGTAAAGAAGACTGGAGCCTAAGAACCCGATTTCCCTTAACTGTGACATTGAATAAGTCACAGCTTTATCTTCTCTAGGCTTACAGTTCCTCACCCTTCACGTTAAGAAATTGAAGTACATAATTATCTGAAGCTGGAAAAATACATTTGGGTCCATTAATAATTACTAGGGGAACCTCAGTTGAGTAGAGGAAAGGAAGATTGAGGCTTCTCTGACATTGCACTGTTACATATTTACAACTCAGGATTTGATGCCTAAGTTATTTTTTTATTCTATAAACGAAAAACGTAGTTGGTGAAGGTGACTTTTTCAAAAAAAGTTTAAAGAAAAGTATGTATTTGAAGCATTAATATACACCTAGCATCCTTTTTGGATTTCTATGCCAGGTGCCATCTTCCTGGTATCTTCTTACTCCTACCTAGATATTTTTATTTTTTCCTCTTCTGTATATTTCATCATAGGCTCCCATCTATTGGCTCAGTTTTTCTGAGCATCAGTCTGAAATGTTTATATGAATGTGAAAGTTATGTAGTAGTAGTACTTCACTAATTTTGAAAATTGTTGAGAATTCATTTTTGCATTAGTGAAAAATCTGAAGATAATTGTGTTTAATAGCTTAGAATTCTTTATAATTAGGTTATCACAGTTTTGTGACTAATAAGGATTAAAGAACTTTTTAAAAAGTATGCTTTTTTCTCATTTGCATAATTTTTTTCTCCTAATTATAATTTATGCTTTGCTAGAGGGTATTTGATCAACCTGGGGATTTTTTTTTTTTACTCATTCCTTTGATATCTGTACCTGTTTGGTTTGGTTTTACATTTTACCGTTGACTTTGATGAAATCATTATAAAATTATTTTTGCTGCATTCTGAGAGGGCTAGCTGTTGATAATTACCGTTACCCTTCAAAGTTTTTTTTTCCTAAAGATGTAAACTGTCTGGAAATAAGCCATACTAGGATGAATTTCCACAGAAATGGATGTAAATATTTATAAAGTAACTCCCCTTACATAGGATAGGAGAGAACTGAGTAAACAATACTTAATTTATTAAAAGTTTCAGTTTTAGAGGTTCAAGACAACAGAAAAACCTCTAATAAATATTGGGTTACCAAAATCCAGGTAGCCTATTTGTTTCCCATGCTCATGAAGTCTAGAGATGGTCTAGGATATATAGGCACTGACTAGGCACCTCTGATGTTTACATGAAATAATCTAATTATAGCCAACTTCCTATTTGATCATAACTTTCTTGAATATTTAACTCTTTGCCTTGTACTTATTTGTTTACTTATTTATTTTATTGATTTCCAAGTGAAAGTGTAAAATATTACCACAGTTACTCATGCTTATTCACAATACTGATGAGTTTTACGTGGGGAGGTAAAGAAATTTTTATATAGTATTGGTAAAGGATGTCACCCAGAAGGGAGTTTCTCTTGAGCCCGTCTGTGTGCTCCATAATTTCTCCAGGAATCAAATGTGCATAGCAAGTGTAGATCAGTGCATTTTTACTTTCAAAAGAAATCTTTGAACTTCTTTGCTCTCTTTAGTCATTTGTTTATTTAAAATTTACATAACCCCAACCAATATTTGTTAGCAGTGCAGATTTAAAATTGACTAAGTGAAACAAAAGTGATATATTTTATGTAAATATTAGGTAAAATCATTGAACTTTTAAAATAAAAGACTTTTAAAAAGCTAAATTGGTGATGAAAAATACAATTATGGTATACATTTCAATATATAATTTAGCTTGTAATATATTGTTTCCAGTTGTATTTAAATTTGTCTCTGCTTAGCTTTTCCATTTTCTTGTTGGGTTACATTTTGAGCAGTTTTAAGATTAACGCTTAAAATTTCATCATTTTTTGTAAGTGCCACTTATTTAATCCATCCCCTCTACTTTTAGATTAGATGATAACTTCTTAGCATTTTCAGGGAATTTGGAAGTATTTACTTCCATTTTATGTCATCAGACTCAGATGAATCAGCATAATTTAAGAGTAAAATAATGATGTCTTTGATACATAATATAAAATTTGTTATTTTCTTATATGTCTGATAATGTGATACAATTAAATTAAAATCTTTTTACATAAGATTATCAAATAAAAAATGTATTTTTGAAATTTCAGTCCTTTGTTAGAAATAGTATGTGTGCCTGTTTCCTAGGTTGGTGGTGGTTGTTTTTAAATTTTACTTCTAATCTTTGTTCTTTTTTTTTTCTTTTTTCTTTGAGACGGAGTCTCGCTCTGTCTCCCAGGCTGGCGGTCAGTGGCGCAGTCTGTCACAGCTCACTGCAATCTCCACCTCCTGGGTTCAAGCGATTCTCCTGCCTCAGCTTCCTGAGTAGCTGGGATTACAGGCGCACACCACCACACCCAGCTAAATTTTGTATTTTTAGTAGAGATGGGGTTTCATATGTTGGTCAGGCTGGTCTCAAACTCCTGACCTTGTGATCTGCCCTCCTCGGCCTCCCAAAGTGCTGGGATTACAAGACTTTCAGGTCATTAACCCAGCATAATGTGCTCCTACTTTTCTGTAGGGGCCTAGATTGTGTGTGTGTGTTGTTTTTTTTTTTTAGGTGTTGTTGTTGTTTGTGTGTTTTTTTTTGTTTTTTTTTTTTTTTTTTTTTTTTTTTTTTTTTTTTTTTTTTTTTTCCTTACCATAATGTCTTTTTCTGTAGGGGCCTAGATTGTGTGTGTGTGTGTGTGTGTGTGTGTGTGTGTGTGTCCCCATTAACCCAGCATAATGTGCTCCTACTTTTCTGTAGGGGCCTAGGGGTGTGTGTGTGTGTGTGTCCCCATCCCTCTTGGCCTTTTTTATGTTTTGTGTGTCTTTTTCTTTTCCTTTTGTTCGTTCCTATTCCTGCTAAGCCATTGATTATATAGCTTTTTACTGTGAAATTACCTAAGTCTTAAGTGGCAGGCTGTATCTCTGTGTTATCATTCTATTCTTACTCTTTTTTCTTGATGTCTGCTAAAACTATATTTAGGGTTGTATATTTAATAATTTGTTATCAATGTGTATACTTTGCCATTGATAGTTGAAACAGCAACGTGGATTTTAATAGTCAGATACGAGTATTGTTGGTCTTATTTTCCAGGCCAGAGATCCTCAGCAGGAGCCTATGGAAGAGATAGAAAATTTGAAGAAACAACATGATTTATTAAAAAGAATGTTACAACAACAGGAGCAACTAAGAGCTCTACAGGGACGGCAGGCTGCGCTTCTAGCTCTGCAACATAAAGCAGAGCAAGCTATTGCAGTGATGGATGATTCTGGTATGTCACAGTCTGAGAATATTCTTTTTGCAAGGAAGACTCATACATAATTGTATTGCAGGGTGGATGCTGATTATTACATAATCAGATCTTGATTGTTGTCTAGTTTAGAAACCTTTATATGAGGCTTATACTTTCCTGTGCTTTTCTCTGGTTATGCAGAAAAGGTTGCAGGGACTACTCCTGGCCATCATACTATACCATGCAGACAGCCAGATCGCTCTTCTTTTCATCAGAGAGTACCCTTAAGAGGTAAAAGAGACAGGCTGTAGTTCTGTTTTTGTACCTCAGACTGATAAGGCTTGTGATGCATTTATTTCCTTTTTTTCTATTTTATTCAGCTAGGATTGTCATTCTTTGCTTGCTTCCCAAGAAAGGGTTAAAACCTTAAGTGAGGCAGTGAATAAATTTATAAAGTATCTTTAGTCTTCAAAGTTAGTAGTAGCTGTTATTTTAATTAGGTATCCTTTTGTATATACTAGCTCTTTAGAACTGTATTTATAGTCTATACTTCCTGAGACTGAGAAATTTTCTTCCTCTTTTCCTCATAGCCATGTGTGATTTAGATGAAAGTTGTATTGAATTTATTAGTATTGAATCTGATTTTGTAAGTTTATCATCACCTTCAAACTTAGGTATTTTAGTGTCTCATTAAATTGAAAAAAAAGATGATTAGTTATTGAAACTCAACAAAACTAAGTTATGTTTTCTAGTAGTCTATTCCCCACCATTCCCTTCTAATAATAATTTCTCTCCTTTGAGCACTCTGTTTTTGCAAGGCAGTTTAGGTTCTCACTGACGCTGCCCTGTTGTGCATCAGTTTATTCTGCTGTCCAAACCTAGCCCACTGACTCAACTGTCTAATCCCTGTTATACTTAATTTAAGTTTACATTTTCATAAGGAACGTTATGACTTTCAAATAACTTAACTCTTTTTGTTTTTTTTTGAGACAGAGTCTTGCTCTTTTTCCCAGGCTGGAGTGCAATGGCATGATCTTGGCTCACTGCAACCTCCGCCTCCCAGGTTCAAGCGATTCTCCTGCCTCAGCCTCCTGAGTAGCTGGCATTACAGGCACCTGCCATCATGCCTGGCTAATTTTTGTATTTTTAGTAGAGTCAGCGTTTTATCATGTTGGTCAGGGTGGTCTCGAACTCCTGACTTCGTGATCTGCGCGTCTCGGCCTCCCAAAGTGCTGGGATTACAGGCGTGAGCCACCCTGCCTGGCCAATAACTTACTGTTTTGTAATAATTACATAGCTGTATATAGTAATAATTACAAAGATTTTTGTCCCCATTTCTCCATTGTAAAATTTAAAGTACCATTAGCTTTTATATTTAGAAAATAGATAATTTAAGAAATGATAATCAAAATACTTTAACATAATGACTAATACTAGTTTAGTTAATGACTAACCTTTTAAATATTTTTCGAGTTTGAAATATCAAATTTAAAAGCTTTCCTTTGATAGTTCTATTAATCTCTAAACTTACATAATCTCCTTTGATCATCAGAGATTTCTAGGTTACTCAGAGCTTTAATTCTTATTTCTGTTCTGTAGCGAAGGAACTCTACAGAGTTTGTGACTTGCCTAGATTTATATAGAATTTTAGCAGAATTACATTTGTTGAATTCTAGGTCAAGGGTCTTGTTTCTGTTTCTGAATATGAACTTTTGAAAGTAAGCAGATAATTTCTTTTTAAAAAATACACTATTATGAGTCAGAAAATAGGAGTAGAATGCACATGAGTTTGAATTTATTTCATACTGTTTCAAAAAGAATTTTAGCTTAGTAATTTTAAAACAAATTTAGTCTTGTATTTGTGAGATTTTGCAGGGGCATACTAATGAACAGCCATGAAAAGCTACAGTTACAGTATTTAATCTGATATATGAGATATTATCTTGGGATAATTATGTTACCTCAAAGCGTGTCCCTTTCACCACTTAACTAGCAAGTTACATGTGTTATCAGTACTGTAATTTCTTCTCAGCATAGAGATTTGACTAGATATATAGGATTCCATATAGCCTTGATATTCTCAGTTCTCAGTGGAAAAAAGGTAGTGTTTTCCTTTAAAACAGTAGCAATTTTTAACCAATTGTCTTTTTTCTTTCCTTTTTTTTTTTTTTGTGAGACACAGTCTTGCTTTGTCAACCCAGGCTAGAATATAGTGGCGTGATCCTGACTCACTCCAGCCTCTGCCTCCCAGGCTCAGGTGAATCTCTCACCCAAGCCTCCTGAATAGCTAGGACTACAGGCGTGGTGTACCACGCTGGGCTAATTTTTGTAGTTTTGTAGAGATGGGGTCTCACTGTGGTGCCCAGGCTGGTCCTGAACTCCTGCGCTCAAGTGATCTGCCCACCTCGGCCTCCCAAAGTTTCAGGATTACAGGTGTGAGACACTGTACCTCGCCACCGATGTCTATTGTAGAGTTGGAGAGTTACAAGTGAGGATAAGGATGGAGTTATTCATTAGTAGAACAGTAACTGTTATGAAAATTATTGTCACAAAACTGCTTTATGAATATGGGGACATTATTTTTAAATTAAGAAGATAAAAACCACAGTCTTTCAGTATGACTTGTATCACAAACAGCCACGTCAATAAATTATCCATTTTATTGCAGGGGTCAGCAAACTTTTGTCAGCTGAGTTTGGCTCATTGCCTGAAATAAAGTTTTTTTTTTTTTTTTTTTTGAGACGGAGTCTGGCTCTGTTGCCCGGGCTAGAGTGCAGTGGCCAGATCTCAGCTCACTGCAAGCTCCGCCCCCCGGGTTTACGCCATTCTCCTGCCTCAGCCTCCCGAGTAGCTAGGACTACAGGCGCCCGCTGCCTCGCCCGGCTAGTTTTTTGTATTTTTTTTAGTAGAGACGGGGTTTCACCGTGTTCGCCAGAATGGTCTCGATCTCCTGACCTCGTGATCCGCCCGTCTCGGCCTCCCAAAGTGCTGGGATTACAGGCTTGAGCCACCACGCCCGGCCCTGAAATAAAGTTTTAGGGAACACAGCCATACCCATTTGTTTACATTGTCTGTGGTTGCTTTTACCCTGTAAAAGCAGATCTGGGTGGTTGAGACAAAAACTGTATTTCCCACAAAGCCTAACATATTTACTATTTGAACCTTTAAGAAAAGTTTGCCAGCTGCTCTACCAGGGAATTGATTCTATTCAAGAGCATGGAGATGGAAACCTGTCAGAATCAGCTGTGCTTTTTTACACTATCACTTTCCCTTCCACTCCCCACTGACCTTAGACAGACCTGCTCCACTGAGTCACTGCTATTGGGATGTAATAGTAACCCTCCTTGTATGTTGGGACAGAAAAAGATGAATCACTTTACTAGAGTTTTGTGACCATCCCTTCATTTTTAAGTTAGATGGAAACTTCTAATAAAATGATTGTTGGCAGATAGATAGGATTGTTAACTAGTTTCAAGGTTTTTTTTTAAAAGTTATTTTTAGCTTCTCAGAGATTAAAAAAGGTGTTTTATTTATATTAATCAATAGTTATTAATTTCTTTCCAGTTGTTGCAGAAACCGCAGGTAGCTTATCTGGCGTCAGTATAACATCTGAACTAAATGAAGAACTGAATGACTTAATTCAGCGTTTTCATAATCAGCTTCGTGATTCTCAGGTAACCTAGGTGTTTCAGTATAGTTGAGTTTAAAAAATCACGTTACTTACAACAGTGATTCTGAAACTTCAGTGAGCATACATATCACCTGGCATGATTGTTTAGCAGTGTAGGTTTCTAATTGGTGGGGTCCCCCCACCTCCAAAATTATGATTCATGGATTTGGGGTGGGTTTCTCCATGTCTCAGTCCAATGCCGGTGGTCTGGGGGCTATACTTTAAGAATCACTGAATTAGAGGAGAATTTTCTTTGAATGAAGTGATTAGTGAAGTTTTTCTTTGTATGCTACTGGATGACATGTTTTTTCCTTTACAAGACTTAATAGTCTACAACCATTAAGACTGCTTTAAATCTCTGTCCTTCGACTAGATACATGGGACTCCATACAACCTTGGAATTCTCATTTGAAGGAATAATTTACTAACAATTTTAAGAAAGTTCTTAATTTGAGAGTTACTGAGTGTTTTAATTTGATGCACTTTGTAAGTGATATAAATGCAGATTTTCAGTATGTGGGCCTTGGGTAAGAAAGGATGAATTAATACCTCTCCATTGGAAGTGAGTATGATTGAAGATGCAGTGTCTCTTGTCTTCTTGCTGACCAAGTGAAAATGAGAATATGGCCCAACCACTTTGGAGAGTTATATAGCAGTACCTAGTAAATTTTTTCTGGTAGACCTGGGGCCTACTTTAGAGAAACTATCACATGTTCACGAGAAGATAGATAAAAGAATGTTCATGGCAACTCTGTGTTAATAGCAAAAAAAAACCAGAAACAGCCCAAATGTCCATGAACACAAATGGGCTAATGAATTCTTATCTAGAGTGAAATTCTTTACAGCAGTTACAGTAAATAAGCCATTGCTAATGAATACAGAATTCAAGTTTAAGAAGGATACCACTTACCTTATTTTTTAAAAAGTCTATATTTTGAGCGTATGTATACATAGGCATTAGAAAATAAAAACATATGAATGGTAGATACCTGATTCCAGGTTGGAGTTACCTTTGGCGTGGGTAGTGACATTGGAAAGGGTACAAGCAGAGCTTTACTTAAATCTGTAATGTTATATTTTTCTTAAAATAATTGATGCAAATATGGGAAAATCTTAAAATTTGACTAAGCATAATGGGAGGTTTTCTTATTATTTCCTAAGCCCTAATGGATTCTTGAAATGTTTCATAATTTAAAAAAAAAAAAAGAGGGCCGGACGCGGTTGCTTACGCCTGTAATCCCAGCACTTTGGGAGGCCAAGGCGGGTAGATCACCTGAGGTCAGGAGTTTGAGACCAGCCTGGCCAACATGGTGAACTAAAAATGTTCCGTCTCAACTAAAAATGGAAAAATTAGCCAGGCATGGTGGCAGGTACCTGTAATCCCAGCTACTCGAGAGGCAGGAGAATCACTTGAACCCATGAGACGGAGGTTTCAGTGAGCTGAGATCATACCACTACACTCTAGCCTGGGCCACAAAGTGAGACTCTGTCAAAAAAAAAAAAAAAAACAAAACCATGAGAGAGAAGTGATGGGAAAAACTGATAGGTTAAGAAGTTAAAGTTTACAGTGGTAGTTCTAGAAAGAAGGCAAGAGAGAGAATGAGATTTTTGAAGGTTTATTTTATATAACGTGGCATTGTTACTACTTTTGATTCAAGTAATGATGGCTAGTGAATCCAAGACCTCTGTGTGGTTATGTGTATGTAAAACCATGTAGAGTCAGCTCTCAGTATCTGTGGGTTCCACATCTGTGGATTCAACCAACCATGGATCGGCAGTATTTTTGGGGGAAAAATAACAATGTTTTAAATGCAAATTTAAAAATTTAACAACTATTTACATAGTGTTTATATTGTATTAGGTATTATAAGTAATCTAGAGCTGATTTAAAGTATATAGGAGGATGTGTATAGATTATATGCAAATACTGTACCATTTTATATAAGGGATTTGAGTATCTGCTGTTTTTGGTGTCCCCAGGGGTCCTTGAACCAATCCCTCACCGATACTGAGGGATGATTTCATGTGTTAATAGTGGCATATCAGGAAACCATATTTAATTTGGGAATAGTAAGAGTATATACTTACCTACCAGCACAACCTAGCAAATATTTCTTTCTCTTTATAAAGGATATTTGTGCATTTAAAAAGTGAGAATACATTTAATTGCCTTAGTCTTTATTCTTCTTCTTTTATTGTTTTTGTTTTTTAATAAGCCTCCAGCTGTTCCAGACAATAGAAGACAGGCAGAAAGTCTTTCATTAACTAGGGAGGTTTCCCAGAGCAGGAATCCATCAGCTTCAGAACGTTTACCTGATGAGAAAGTCCAATTGTTTAGCAAAATGAGAGTGCTGCAGGAAAAGAAACAAAAAATGGACAAATTGCTTGGAGAACTTCATACACTTCGAGATCAGCATCTTAACAATTCATCATGTGAGTAAATCTGGTTCAGCAATGTTGGGTATAAGACACAGTAATATATATACTGTCACATAATAAATTTAGCATTTGGGGAATGAACACGTAGCTCCTCAAAAATATTTGTAGGGACTTCAGACCTATATTTGAAAAGTTTTTAAGTTACAAGCCAATATATATAAAAGTGAAATACGTGGTAAATCAGTTTTATAATTCAGAAAAGGGAAGCAATACATTTGGACCTTGAAAAATTAGTAGGATTTTAATAAGGGAAAGGTAGAAGAGAAGGTAATATTTGATACGTGCACATAATAATACTGTTTTTTTTAACATATTCAAAATTTTGCCTTAAAAGTTAATCCAGTTAGTACTTTGATTTAAAAACCCAAAACTATGAAACATAGAGTGTTGATTAAAAAAAAAAAAATCTGTGAAAAACTTGTATATATGGTTTAGTATGGAGAGTCCAGAACTTCTAACTGCTGAACTTGTATTCATTTTTTAAAAATATATAATCATCTCAGACAGCTGTAACTTCAGGACCTATCTTTTTTGTTCCACACATACTTAACCTTCTTCATCTAAATCAGATCTAGTCTTCAGTTCCTTAACCTTTTCAAACATGGCTCCTGTCTCTTATCCAAATAATAATAGAGGCTCGAGCATTAGAAATTGAAGGGGCAACTTCCAACTAGTCTTTAAACATTCTAGCTGTTGTCTAATTAAAGAAAATAGGGATTTTGAAACAACAAAACCATTTTCTCTGGAGCCTCTGGTCCTTATTATCCACATATCTCCTTTTTCTTTTCCACCCACAAAAGAACCTTAATATTCCTGCCCTAAAACATATCCTTTCTCTTCCCTGACTTCTGCTAGTCTCTTCCTCCTCTCGAGTATAATCCCAGTTTTTATCCTTCACAAACACATGAACACAACTAAGAAAAACTTAACATGTGGGCCGGGCGCGGTGGCTCATGCCTGTAATCCCAGCACTTTGGGAGGCCAAGGTGGGTGGATCACCTGAGGTCGGGAGTTCGAGACCAGCCTGACCAACATTGAGATACCCCATCTCTACTAAAAATACAAAATTAGCTGGGCGTGGTGGTGCATGCCTGTAGTCCCAGCTACTCTGGAGGCTGAAGCAGGAGAATCACTTGAATCTGGGAGGCGGAGGTTGTGGTGAGCCGAGATTGTGCCATTGCACTCCAGCCTAGGCAACAAGAGCAAAACTCCGTCTCGAAAAAAAAAAAAAAAAACGTGAAAGTTGCACTTAAGTCCTCGTGGTCAATTTTGTATTCATAAAGTAGCACTCTGTGTGCTGATGACTCTTAAAGGCCATTTTTTTCCTCACTGGGAAGCAGTGTGAGAACAGCAGCAAAAGGTAGAATGGTCAAGGAATAGAATGAGGAGACTACTGGAAACCACCCACAGGAATTGTGGTACTAAAGTGAACAACAAATAATGATGATTCTTGTGAGAAAGATACTGGTAAATGACAGCATCTTTGAAATGGTAGGAGGTAGAGAAGTGCAGAAATTCTTAATCTTTAATTCCTCTTAAGCATGATTTATATTTGATAGTAAAAGAAGTTAAATAGAAAGTAATTAAATTTAGTTCAAGGACCATGGAGGATTAGCCATTGTCTAATTAGCAGATTTTTATTGCTGTTTAATATTTCATAGTTTGAGGTACCATGGTCTTTTTAACACTGTTCTTTCTCTCCTGGAGCAAGACAAGTTCCTTCTTGGTGTCCAGATGTAACTTCTCTGGTCTGTGGGTATGAAAAACCGATGAAGACCTAATCGGCTTCAACTACCTGATAAAAATTACAGATTGAGTACTGCACATCATTCATAGTGGCCCTGTTTAACTTAACCTAGAACCAAGTTTATCAAGTTAGTTACCAAATTTAGTCGTTAGTTAAAACTAACTAGAGTTCTCCTCTAGTTAGTTTTCCAAGGTAGAATATCATTATTCTTGTCAATTTCCATCTTTTCTTCTTCTTTCCTTTCTGTTTTAACCCGGTGGTTATAATGTAAAGGTGATGGAGTCTCTGGAAGAAAGAGGTAAACGTGTCTTCTGTGTGCATTTTGATGTGTTTAATTGTGGAGTAAGTTAATAAACAAGTTTCTAAAATTTAAATCTGCAGAAACTAAGTTGTTAATCATTTTTGCTTTTTATTTTTCGGTATTAAAGCCAACTGTAAGTGTTTGTGTGTAGTAACTGGTGATTTAAAGAAAATTTTTTTGTGTGCCTTCTTCAGCCTCTCCACAAAGGAGTATGGATCAGAGAAGTACTTCAGCTCCCTCTGCTCCTGTAGGCTTGGCACCGGTTGTCAATGGAGAGTCCAGTAGCCTCACATCATCTGGTCCTTATCCTGCTGCTGCTTTAGTCTCTCAGAATGAGAGTGAAAATGAAGTCCATCTCAATCCATCTGAAAAACTCCAGTAAAACATTTACAATCATTGTTTACATAGATTAAAGTTAAATAATAGGGATAAATGTTTTTTTTCCTTTGTGTTGAAAATTCTGGCAAAACGAGATTTAATTTTGTAAACATTCTTAAGTGATAGGTAGAAGAGGTGTGTGTGTGTTGTATGTGTATAATTTGAGTTGTCTAAGAGATGTGATGTAACACAGTTTCTGTGAACAGATAACTACTTTCTTGTTTTTCAAATAAAGGATAAAAAATAAGACTACAGTTAGAATATTTCTGTATTCAGATGGTTTAGAGACCAGGCTGTAGAATGAGACAGCCCTGAAATTGTATCACACAAGGCTGTGTTACCGTGTACAAATAACTTAGCCTTACTAAGCCTGTATTTCCTCATCTGCAAAATAGGGATAATAATACACCTGTTCAGAAATATGTTTTCATTAAAAAATGTTGGCACAGTTCCTGGCACTTACATTCAGAACTCAGCAAACTTAATTCTTATTTTTGGTAAACGTAGTATGTAGTGTATAAATCTCATATGTGCAGACAAATCAAGAACCTTCTATACATGCTCAGTAATGTCTGTATACCTGATTTGCCTGAGAGGTAGTGTTTGAGTAGTACTTCACACTTTTGATACTTGAGAAACCTAGAAATATTTTTGACATCAAGTTTTGTGCTATTAACATTTACACCTGCTTAAAATGAACAATTAAATTGAAATTGATTTTCTTATGCTTTTGTCCCTAACACAGCATAAAAAAAAAAAATGTGAGATTTTGAGTAAGCCGTACTTGGCATTAAACTCATTAGTTTAAAATCATACCCCCTGGATAGTACACCAGGTGGATATTTCATTAGGTCTAAATTTTGTTTGTGTTAGCTGCTATTATATGAAAATAATGTCTGCATTAATTTGCTAAAATGGGTGTAAATCTTATAAATTTTTTGTTTATCAGAAAGTTAAATGAAGTTCGAAAGAGATTGAATGAGCTAAGAGAATTAGTTCATTATTATGAACAAACATCAGACATGATGACAGATGCTGTGAATGAAAACAGGAAAGATGAAGAAACTGAAGAGTCAGAATATGATTCTGAGCATGAAAATTCTGAGCCTGTTACTAACATTCGGTAAGAACTATTTTTGGGATGTTTTTCCAGCATATTCATTCTATCTTGATACTTTTAATGTGGAAACAAAAATACTTCATTAGAGTATTTACTATTTGCCTTTTATTTAAGCTTTTTTCTTGTAAGTCTACTATTTTGGTCAGTGTAATCATCTTTGCCCTGTGAAGAAAAATGAATAGAGAAGTATGGAGTACAATTGTTGAGTAAATTTGCTGTTTGTTAGATTGAATTTGAGTAAATCATGAGATGTCTGTAACTTAGCATTTTGCTGTCTCTTTATTTTTAGGTGTAATTTTCATTTTTTTCAGATGTTTTTCTACTTAAATATCACATATGCACAAGTTAATGAAAAGCAGGAGTCGATTATTCGATTTGAATTTTAATGGAATAGCCAACCATGTTCTTGGTTTGGAGTTATTTTATTAGCAGTTCTAAACTTTGATTTCTTTTCTCTCTTTTTTTGTGCCTTAAATAACTTCAGGCTGTTTTCTTTCTTCTAGAAATCCACAAGTAGCTTCCACTTGGAATGAAGTAAATAGTAATAGTAATGTACAATGTGTTTCTAATAATAGAGATGGGAGAACAGTTAATTCTAATTGTGAAATTAACAACAGATCTGCTGCCAACATACGGGCTCTAAATGTGCCTCCTTCTTTAGGTATGACTGACTGTATTTACAGATAATTTAGCTGTGTTCTTACAAAGTGGGTTTTTGTTCATGTGTGCTCTTAAATTTATTTTTTAAATTACCAATTTTAATTATGCATGTTTTCAGCAGATTGTCGATATAATAGAGAAGGAGAACAGGAGATTCATGTTGCACAAGGTGAAGATGATGAGGAAGAGGAGGAAGAAGCAGAGGAGGAGGGAGTCAGTGGAGCTTCGTTATCTAGTCACAGGAGCAGTCTGGTTGATGAGCATCCGGAAGATGCTGAATTTGAACAGAAGATCAACAGACTTATGGCTGCAAAACAGAAACTTAGACAGTTACAAGATCTTGTTGCTATGGTACAGGTAAATACTGCTTGGTCTTCTAAAAACCTGTTTGTCAGATAGTATAGTCTTAAGTAAAATGTGTGTATGATAATTACTTTGGTTTAATTATACTAATACACATACATGTGAGGTTTAAATTTTTAGCACTTTACGCTCTGTACGTCAGAGGTCAGCAACCTTTTTAAATTAAGAGTGAGTTGGTTAGATAGTTGAGGCTTTGCGGCAATACAGTCTGTGTCACAACTTCACAATGCAAAAGCAGCCATACATAATACATAAATGAGAATGATTATTTGCCAACATAGCTTTATTATAAACAGTATAGCTGTTTTTATTTACAGAAACAGAAGAGGTTTTGTTGTTTTTGTTTTGCTGACAACTCTGGCCTTATGTAGAACTTGCAGCATCTCAATGAGCTAGATATTAAATAGGTTAAAGAGATCTTAATTGCCAAAGTTTATATGACTGTCCAAGCCAGAATTCAGACTTCCTGATACCAGAGCCTGAGATCTTAACCTACTGTATGTAAAAGAAAAACCATATGTTATTCAGTAAGGTTAAAGTTAGAACTATTAATCATAAATTTTAAAAAGCAGTTTATACATATTTTGTGTTAATTGTTATGCAGTTAACTATAATTGTATAAATATGCTATTGTATGTTTATACAAATGTAAAAATATACAGTTATAGTTAATTACATAACGATTAACACAAAATATGCATACACTTATAATTGTATATGCAGTAATAAAATTATAGTTAATTACATAACTATTAGCACATTATAAAGGTGTTGTGTATATAAATCATATAAAATAGTTTTTGTGTATGAAAAACTCAAGTTTTATTAACAGTTTCTTTTGAAATGCTATATACTTTGAATTACTTAAGTGAAAGGGGAATGTGCTCTCTCAGTTCAAAAAAAGTACGTATTTTTATTTTTATTTATTTATTTGTTGGGGACAAGGTCTTGCTCTGTACCCAGGTTGGAGTGCAGTGGCATGATTTTGGCTCACTGCAACCTCCATCTCCCGGGTTCAAGCGATTCTTCTGCTTCAGCCTCCCAAGTAGCTGGAATTACAGACATGTACCACCACACCTGGCTAATTTTGTATTTTTAGTACAGATGGAATTTCACCATATTGGCCAGGCTGGTCTTGAACTCCTGGCCTCAAGCATTTCTCCCACCTTGGCTTCCCAAATTGCTCAGATTACAGGCAAAAAAAGTACATAATACTAGTAAACTCCCTCTTCACCTCCATTAATAATCCCATTCTTCTTCACTGAAGTTGCTAGGTCTTTTCTGTGCAGTTAGGTACATTACTATGCACCTATTTTAAAAAAAATACTTGATGTTTTGTGCTATGTTTCTTTGTTTTTACACATTGTATGTATAATACACTAAGTATTGTAGCTTTTTTCCCCACTCCACATCCTGTCAGAGAACTTTCATGTCGGTATATATAGTTCTATATAATTATAAGTAATTAAGAAACACAGATATGATAATTATAAAATGTTAATACTGTATATATATACACACAATACATGTAGTTATTTTTAGTTGCAGTATAGTTTCTGTATATTGAAGAACCTTAATTTAGTTAATGTGTAATAGCATCTAGTTAATATATACTTTTCTGTCTTTCACTATTTAGAAACAATGCACCAAAAAACATACTTGCACAAGCTTCTGTGCGTTTGTGTTTTTTAAGAAAGATTTGGGGAAGTGGAACTACTATGTCAAGAGTTTGTGTACATTTTAAAGGACACAACTTAATTGGTCTCTAGAACAATTATTTTTCTAGAGAGCAATTTTCTATATGTATTTCCATGTGTATTTATATTTCTATATGTACAGAATTTTTGATATGTATTTATATTTTTCTATATATTTTATATTTTAAAATTTTAAATATTTTTAAAAAATATTTTACATTTTTCATATTTTTTATATTTTATATGAGAGTTCATTTCTCCACACATTGATTACATTTTATTTTATTGATATACTGTAGCTTGTTTAACCATTAATGGAATTGGCCTTTTCCAAATTTCTCAATTATAAGAAGAGTTGTTGAGGTGAGATAAACATGTATGCAAATACAAACGTGTGTAAACAAATGTGTATAGAACACGTGTAAACATGTATACAAACATGCTTTCTTTACTGCTTTAATATTTTAACGTAAATTTTACAGACCAGTGGTATTTACTAAGGTGTGAATTGGATAATATCTTTAGGTATCAAGACTGTTTTAATGTAAAGATGCTCTTTCAGGATGATGATGCAGCTCAAGGAGTTATCTCTGCCAATATGTCAAATTTGGATGACTTCTACCCAGCAGAAGACGACACCAAGCAAAATTCAAATAACACTAGAGGAAATGCCAATAAAACACAGAAAGATACTGGAGTAAATGAAAAGACGAGGTATGTTAAGCTTTTGGCCTTCATTTAATATAGTAAGAATTTAGTGCCTGTTTTGGAGAAGGTACTCAGCTAGGTACTATGTTATGTTGTGCCTAATGCTTCATCAGATTTTATTGTCCATAAATATAATGTCAATTTAATTGTAGAGAGAAATTTTATGAGGCTAAACTACAGCAGCAACAGAGAGAGCTAAAACAGTTGCAGGAAGAAAGAAAGAAACTGATTGACATTCAGGAGAAAATTAAAGCATTGCAAATGGCATGCCCTGACTTACAGGTAATTATGAAATTTATTTCTACTTGTCTGAAAAAAGATGTTTAAAATCTGATGTCAACTGAAAGTACTCTTTTTTTTTTGAGACGGAGTCTTGCTCTGTTGCCCAGGCTGGAGTGCAGTGGTGCGATCTCAGCTCACTGCAAGCTCTGCCTCCCAGGTTTGCGTCATTCTCCTGCCTCAGCCTCCTGAGTAGCTGGGACTACAGGCACCCACCACCACACCCGGCTAATTATTTGTAGTTTTAGTAGAGACAGGTTTCACCGTATTAGCCAGGATGGGCTCGATCTCTTGACCTCGTGATTCGCCTGCCTCAGCCTCCCAAAGTGCTGGAATTACAGGCGTGAGAAAGTACTCTTTTTTCTAATATTAAGGTGACAGAATTATGTCTAGTAATTTTGTGATTAATGAAGTGGATGAACTGATGAAGAGCTGGGGGTATACATTTACAGTATAAAAGATAGCACATAGGAATTGACTCTGATTATTTTCATTCTTATAGGGCTGGCTGGCCATAGATTCAGAACATGTGTACTCATAATTGTTTATTATATTAAAATATACTGGTTTGACTTTTGCAGTTATGGACCAGCATTTGCATCTTTTACTGGCCTGAAATAATATAATAAAATCTTTAAACCACTGTAAGTTATCTAAGGAAAATAATTGTATGTGGTTTAAAGAGTAAGTTGTATATACTTTTGCTTATTAACTAGTACCCTATACATGGGTCTTGAGATTGAACAGAAAATAAGAGGCTGGGCACAGTGGCTCACACCTGTAATCCCAGCACTTTGGGAGGCTGAGGTGGGCAGATCATGAGGTCAGGAGATCAAGACCTTCCTGGCTAACACGGTGAAACCCCGACTCTACTAAAAATACAAAAAAAATTAGCCAGATGTCATGGCAGGCGCCTGTAGTCCCAGCTACTTGGGAGGCTGAGGCAGGAGAATGGCCTGAACCCAGGAAGCAGAGCTTGCAGTGAGCCAAGATCTCGCCACTGTACTCTACCCTGGGCGACAGAGCGAGACTCAGTCTCAAAAAGAAAGAAACAAACAAAAAAAAAAACAAAAAAGAAAATATCTTTGATGATATCAAATAATCAATAATATGGGAAGGGGATAATAATTCCTTCTGATGTTTTCCCAGAGTTTATTGGGTAGCTTTATCTTCAGTTAGGTTGTGTTTTCAAAGAAAGGAAAACACATCAAATGTGTTTATTTTCTAAACCCTTGCCTTTCCTACTTTAATCCTTTTTCTTTCCTTGTCTCCAATCTAAATAATGTCTAGAGAAATAAGTTGCAAAGTTGGGTTGAGTATACAAAATTTTCCATTATGTTTTATCCCTATTGTTTCTGTTGTTCCTGAGGGCTTGTGTTTGTCAGCCTCAGCTTGTGTTTTCATCTTTGTTTTCTTATTTCAAGTTATCTGGATGATGATGGTAATTGGGGTGTGATAGCAGATTAAATATGGCACTAGAGCCCTAGTGCCATATTTAAAGTACCTGCTTTTATTAAATTAATATAATTGCTTTAATTCCTTGTAACTTTTTTTGTGAATTCCTTTTTAGCTGTCAGCTGCTAGTGCGGGTAATTGTCCCACCAAAAAATATATGCCAGCTGTTACTTCCACCCCAACTGTTAATCAACACGAGACCAGTACAAGCAAATCTGTTTTTGAGCCTGAAGATTCTTCAATAGTAGATAATGAGGTATTGTAAATTGTACTCTGTTGTTCCTGAGTTAGTCTTTTTTTTTTTCGCCTTTTTTTTTTGTTCTTCAGTAAGGCACATCTTAAGAAAGGAAACTGAATATCCTTGAAACATGTTTGTAAATGGTAGTCTGTTTTGTGCCTTTTTTAGTAGACACAAAAATGTAATTGTAGATTATAAGAATATAAAAAAGACAAAACATTTTGATTTTTAAACTTTAATTGAAAATTAAGTTTTTAATAACTTCTAAAAAGTAATTATCTTTTAAAAATATTCATGTTCTTTATTAGTAAATATTTGGCAGAAATGTATAGGGGGGTAGTAGCAACAAATAGTAATCATTTCAGTTAGACCTGTCCTTTGACATTTTATTTATATGTAATTTGTAGAAAATATAATTTTTCCTAAATAGTTTCTAAAGTATATTTGAATTCTGCTTGTTTCTATTAAGAATTAATAGGCCAGGTGTGGTGACTCACACCTATAATCCTAGCACTTTGGGAGGCTGAGGTGGGCAGATCATGAGGTCAGGAATTCAAGACCAGCCTGGCCAACATGGTAATACCCTGTCTCTACTAAAAAATACAAAAAAATTAGCTGGGCGTAGTGGTGGGCACCTGTAATCCCAGTAACTTGGGAGGCTGAGGCAGGAGAATCACTTGAATCTGAGAGGCAGAGGTTGCGGTGAGCCGAGATCACGCCACTGCACTCTAGCCCAGGTGACAGAGTAAGACTCTGTCTCAAAAAAAAAAAAAAAAAAAGATTGCCTAATTTTTTCGTATTCATAACTAAATTATTATTTTAACCTTCATGGACATCTTAGTGTGAAAAGGAGAGAATGAGAATAGAAAGCTTTGTTGATACTGACAATATTATTAGTCTTTTACTCTTTTAGGTTACAGCAAATCCAAATATTTACTTAACTCTGGTTTCTTAAAAAAAATAGTTGTGGTCAGAAATGAGAAGACATGAAATGTTGAGGGAAGAGCTGCGACAGAGAAGAAAGCAGCTTGAAGCTCTGATGGCTGAACATCAGAGGAGGCAAGGTCTAGCTGAAACTGCATCTCCAGTGGCTGTGTCATTGAGAAGTGATGGATCTGAGAATCTATGTACTCCTCAGCAAAGTAGAACAGAAAAGTAAGAGAGCTGCATAAATCACTTTTCTAAAAATGTCACCTGCCGAAGATTGACCTGTAGGCTAGGCAGCCACATTTATCCTCTACACGACAGCACAAATCTATTTCAGTGAGGCTACTATTTAACTACCACCTTTGTGACCCAAGTTAACTGAATCCATCCACTTTCTGTTATGACTTCTTGTAGCATCAGCTTTCTCTTTTGTCTTAAATTACTATGGCACTTGATCAAATGGTGATACAGATTTTCTTGTATGTATAAGCCTTATTTTCTTAAGTTTATAAAAAGAAAACACTTGATATTTTTTTAGTGCTTTTCTGTCAAGCCAGAAATAAACAGTTTTTTGCTTAAATTGAGTATCTGCTGTTTGTAAGGTTCTTAAGGATCATTTTATTATAATAATAATATAGTTTTTATATTATAATAATAATTTAGTTTTTAGGATTTCAGTTTAAAATGTCCATATTTAGAATATTTCTAAGAGTTGGTCGTCTGTAAGATCAGTGAATTATTTAGCTATATGGTAATACCCATATCTAAAATATTGAAATTTAGATGTGTTCATGACCTTCCCTTTTGATATCCTCAGATGGCATTTCTGGAATTTCTGGAATTTTGCACCAAGCCCTACTCTCTTCTCAGATGAACTACTTCTATTCTTGGAGTCCCAATATGCATTTTACTGATGAGACTGTATCTTCAATATTTTATTCTGTCCTGGGTACTACACCTGTGTTCCTCTGCAGAGTTCTTCAGATAGTTTTGATGAGCATCTGGTTTCAGAATCATTGGTCTGGAGTTTTGCTGTTCAGTATGGCAGCCACTAGTTATATGTGGTTATTTAAATTTAAATCAAATGAAATTAAAAAGTTATTTTCTCAGTCATACTAGCTACATTTTAAGTGCTCAGTAGCCATGTGTACCTAGCAGCTGCTGTATTGGATAGCACAGATACAGATTATTGCCATAATTATAGAAAGATCTGCTGAATGGCACTGATCTTGAAAACTCCCTCAGGGAAAAGTTAAGGGCAGTTTAACTTTGGGAAATAGTCCCAGGGGATATGATGATTATTTAAATTTGTTGGAAGAATTGTTTTCAGGTAGGCAAACTAAACATATTCTATTTAACAGCAATAGGGAGAATGCCACCCATACCATAGTTACTGTGATTAAATGAAATTTTATATACAGACATGTATATTTATGTTTGAAACAATGTTTGGCACATAGTAGGTGGCAGAGTATTTAGCTTATCTCCAGAATGACATCTGTTTTATGTCTCTTAATCACTAGAACAATGGCAACTTGGGGAGGGTCTACCCAGTGTGCACTAGATGAAGAAGGAGATGAAGACGGTTACCTTTCTGAAGGAATTGTTCGGACAGATGAAGAGGAGGAAGAAGAGCAAGATGCCAGTTCCAACGATAACTTTTCTGTGTATCCTTCTAACAGTGTGAATCATAACTCCTACAGTGGAAAGGAAACTAAAAATAGGTTAGTTTCAGTATTTTAATTTTGTGCTTAATTTCAGAGGTCCAGGTCTTTTTGACTGACAGCAAGCACTTCTGCAATTCTCCAAGCCAACCGAATGTCCTACAATTCAATTCAGTTTTTACACTAACTATTCAGTTAGTGCAGACCCCACAAGTTAAGGGGCTCAGTTCGGTAAGACTGCCCTCACTTCAGACTTCAGTTTCAAGTACTTGGTCCCCATGTTACCCACACTTCTGTCCAACGTGGCTAGAAATTTGGGAGTTCTTACAACCCCCTTCAGGTTTATTTGCTAGAACAACTCACAAAATACAGGAAAACACTTATATTTTCTCATTTCTTATAAAGGATTCTGAACAGCCAAATGGAAGAGGTGCATTAGGACAATGTATGTTTTGGGCAGGTGTGCAGAGCTTCCATGCTTTCCTCTGTGTCGCACCCTCCCCAGCACTTCGATGTGTTCACTGACCGAGAAGCTGGCTGAACTCTGTTTAGGGTTTTTTAGGAGATTTCATTGCTTAGGCACATTTGATAAAAATTGTTGACTGTTGGTGATTGGTCTCATTAGCAAAAATTCAGATCTGGTTGAAAGGGGCTTGTTTTGTATAACAGAAGACACTGTCACTTGGAGGATTCCAAGGGTTTTACAAACTCTGTGCTAGGAACCAGGCACAAAGAACAGATAGATACTTTATTATTCTACAAGAATGTTGTTCCAATAGATACAGGTAAACTGGATCAGTCTTCACTTGTGTTATTGAGAATTAACCAAAAATAAATTGTAGATAGTGAAAAGGGTCTGTCAACAAAGATATTATCACATTGTTACTAATAATTATAACTGAAAATTTGTTCGTGAATTAAAGATGGTGAAGTAGATACGGTAGTCCACTTGATGAAATGCTATGTGGTCGAACTGAAAGCATGAAGAATGGAAAAGTACTTGTGACATAATGAATATTTTTATTTTGCAGAATACTTAATTATATGGACACTTCTGTGTAAAAACATTAATGAAAAAGACTGGAAACTAATGAAAACTGATAATTGTACAAAGCTAAAGATCGGGACTTTCTCCTCCCTCTATATTTTTTAATACTTTATATATTCTTGGAATTTAAAAGAGAATATTGGCCCGTAGGCCAGAGTATCAGAGTTTATTGCTGTATTTTTAAAACCAAATTATTCTGTGTGATGACTTAATGCTTTCAATCTTTTGTTAGGTGGAAGAACAATTGCCCTTTTTCAGCAGATGAAAATTATCGTCCTTTAGCCAAGACAAGGCAACAGAATATCAGCATGCAACGGCAAGAAAACCTCCGTTGGGTGTCAGAGCTCTCTTACGTAGAAGAGAAAGAACAATGGCAAGAACAAATCAATCAGCTGAAGAAACAGCTTGATTTTAGTGTCAATATTTGTCAGACTTTGATGCAAGACCAGCAGGTAAAATTTGCTGTGAAAGTATATTTTTCTTCTATTTTTATAACTGTGGAAGCAATACAAATTTTTCTCAAGTCATCAGTAACTATTAACAAATATTTTCTTTCAATAGACTCTATCTTGTCTGCTACAAACTCTTCTCACGGGTCCTTACAGTGTTATGCCCAGCAATGTTGCATCTCCTCAAGTACACTTCATAATGCACCAGTTGAACCAGTGCTACACTCAGCTAACATGGCAACAGAATAATGTTCAGAGGTAATCTGTTTCTTAGAAGTATTGCGACTGTGTAAGAGCTAACATTGAGCAAATGTTTTACAATTAGCTTCTGGGAGAAAAGAGCAAGACCAAATTGCATATTTGGACGTTCTCTGTCCCTTGAGAATTTTATGAGTGGTGATTTGCCTTATGTTTCCTTTTAATACCATGGATTTCTGTTTTTATAAATTTATGTTACTAAATTTTACACTTATATTTTGGCAAATTTTATAGTGTATAAATTGTACTACAGTGAAGCTATAAACAAACAAAAAAGTGAGTTTCTTAGAGTTTTACTGACTGTCGGACAGAAGTACTAAGTTCATTTCTTGTTCCAGAGGGAAGGTTATTGAATTAAGCCTATAGACCAAGCACATATTATTTATTATAGTATCAGAGCAGTTTGTCTGCATGCTTTTGAATCATTTTTTACATGTATTCTTCCTGAATGTACTTTACATATGGTAATATAACTGATTTTTAGATTACTGACTTAAATTTTTGTAGGTTGAAACAAATGTTAAATGAGCTTATGCGCCAACAAAATCAGCATCCAGAAAAACCTGGAAGCAAGGAAAGAGGCAGTAGTGCATCGCACCCTCCTTCTCCCAGTCTATTTTGTCCTTTCAGCTTTCCAACACAGCCTGTAAATCTCTTCAATATACCTGCATTTACTAACTTTTCATCATTTGCACCAGGTAGGTGACTTAACCTGAAGAGAAAATAAATAAAAGCAGTGTTTGAGAACATAATTTGTCTCTTGCATAGATGTTTTAACATTTTCTTTTGGAATGGAGTAGGGAATGTTTGCAAAGAAAGTTGCAAACTCTTTTCTATATATATATACACATATACATATATATGTGTGTGTGTGTGTGTGTGTGTATATATATATATTTCTTTGAGGCGGAGTTTCATTCTTCTTGCCCAGGCTGGAGTACAATGATGCGATCTTGGCTCACGGCAACCTCTGCCTCCCAGGTTCAAGGGATTCTCCTGCCTCAGCCTCAGCCTCCCAAGTAGCTGGGATTACAGGCATATGCCACCACGCCTGGCTAATTTTGTATTTTTAGTAGAGACGGGGTTTCTCTATGTTGGTCAGGCTGGTCTCAAACTCCCGACCTCAGGTGATCTGCCTGCCTTGGCCTCCCATGGTGCTGGGATTACAGGCATGAGCCACTGCGCCCAGCCTACTTTGTTTCTTTTAAACCAAACTTTAATAATATGATTTCTAATGAAATTAAGTAAACTACTTAGGAATGATTGCTTCAACTATTTATTAAGAGGAAAGAGAATTAACCTGTTCATTGGCTGCTGTATACTAGGCACTATGTAAAACGCTGGGAGAGTAAAGATGAGTAAGACAGTGCTCTTCTAGAGGAGTACCATGTCTTGTTAGGTAGATAGTAATAGACTAAAGGAGAGCACATTTAGCTTAAGCTTTTCTTTGGATGTTTTTTTTCTGTACTCATTACATACCAGACATGATGTGAGTTACTGGGATCTGAAGATGAGTAACTGATCCTTCAAGGAATTCAGGGTCTAGTGAGGATGCTATTAATGAATGCTTACAGTACAGTGCCACGGGTGCCATAACAGTGGTGCAAATGCTGGGGAGTGTCACCAAATCAGTCCCCCCCCCCAAAAAAAAGTGATATTTAAACTAAAGAATGAATAGAATTTATTTCCAGAGGGATTAGAAATGAAAGGGCTTTCTAATAAATAAAACCACTTAGAGTTATAAAGCAATGAAATAGTACATCACTCGGAATTTAGAGGTATTTAAGCGTGGCTAGTATTTAGGGGAAGAGTAATTGATGTGGTTGAAGAGTGGCAGAGACATGTTATGATGTGCAAAGAAGCTTAGGTTTTATATTGCAGACGAGGGTGCCATTGAAGGACTGAGCAAGGGATAACATGAAATTTATATTTTAGAAAGATTACACTGGTGAAAGTGTTCAGAAGTTGGAGGAAAGGAGTGGAAGATATAGCTGGTGAACAGAAGACTGTCATAATAATATAGAAAGAATGATAGCCTGGCCTTAGGCCTTGTCAGTAGGGATCAAGAAAAAGGAGTGACTGAAAGACATTTTAGTGATAGAGTGAATAAGTTAAGTGACTGATTATATGAGGTGAATCATGAGGAGGAGTTAAAGGTGTTGACAGGGAATACAAGAGGAGAAAAAAGGTTGAGAGGGCTTTGTGAATATGTGAGTGTGTGTGTGTGTATGTATATATCACAATATGTATGTACTCAATACTTCTTATATATTTATATTTTAGTGTTATGCCCAGCAATGTGTATATATATGGATGTATATGTGTGCGTGTGTATATATATATGTGTGTGTGTATATATATGTATACCATAGTGTTTTTTTCTTAATGAGACTTTCAAGACAGTGTGGCATAAAAAATTTAACAGGCTTTTTAGTTCTTGGGTGTCAATATTGGCAGCAAACATCACATGAGTAGACTTTTAAGTAATAAGAAATTGCAAATGCTCTTCCTTTTTACTAAAATATACTTCATACCCACACCAACTGTATATAAAGGCTCTTCATTGTTTGTAAATAGTACAATTTTTGTGAAACCTTCCCAGTCTCTTTCCCCCCACGTTGTTAGTAGCCTCTTGCAAATACTTCTGATTCATAACAGTATTTGGTAAGTATTTAATTATATTCTACTTTCCCAATAAAAATAGAGTAGAAACAACATAAGCATAGGAGTAATACAGACCCGAGATCTAACCGTCTTTTTCATTTATTAGACATTTGATCTCTAACCCTAGTTTCTCAATGGTAAAATGAGTGCAGTATCTATTTTATAACGTTTTAAGTATTAAACCAAATAACATGTAAAGTGCCTGCAGTAGTGTGTGTCACCCAGTAATTGATACATGTCAGGTACTATTATTTCTAACTTTTAGCTCTTAAGGGAGTGGGGATTATTTGTTGTCTTTGATCAATGCCTAAAACATAGTGGCCTGAGCTGTAAACAGTGATTGGATAAATATTAGCTTTTTTTTTTAATTAACAATTTTTTGTTTTGGTGGATTTGAATGGCATATTTAATTAAAACTTTTTAAATTTCATTTTAAAGCTAAAGACATTTCTTTATTTTTCTCTTACCCATTGATTTTACTGATTAGGTATGAATTTCAGCCCTTTATTTCCTTCTAATTTCGGAGATTTTTGTCAGAATATCTCTACACCCAGTGAACAGCAGCAACCCTTAGCCCAGAATTCTTCAGGAAAAACAGAATATATGGCTTTTCCAAAACCTTTTGAAAGCAGTTCCTCTATTGGAGCAGAGAAAGCAAGGTACCTGATTGTAAACATAGTCTTTCATTGCTTAAACATTCACTTTTGTGATTACATCTAATTATATGTAATTTGAAAACGCAACTAGGGAGGACATTTGTGATGATTTGGCTTGATGATGTTGGAAACATGAAACTTTGATGTATCAGTAGATAAGATGCCAGATACTTCCTTGTAACCCTGGTACACGAAAAGTTCAGTTTGAAAGGATGTGGCATAACTCATAGGATTTCTTTAGTCTCTGATTTGATACCTGTCTTAAGGTTAAACCAGTTTGCTGTTCACTGACTTAGGGCTGGAAACTAATATTAACTGCTAGAAGATAGTTGTTAAGTGATGATCCCTTTTTTTGATTCCTAGCTCTTGATTAGAATCACTTCCTAAAGCCTATTCAAATATAATGTTGAGTACTATTAGATTATAAAAACAACTTTTGCCTCATAAGTTTTGAGGATGCATGGTATTAATCATAGTTAGGATTTCTTTTTCCTCTGTTTCTTACATTTATTATTTTTTAATGCTATAATCTTCTGAAACACAATTTTTGACTCAATGTGAAAGATTGGCTCAGTTGAACTTAATCTCTCAGATATATCTCTCTGATTGTCTTTTCTACTCTGTAAAAATATATATAATTCACATTATAGTTGTCTTTAGCTGTGTGATTAGGACTGTCTCAGGCTCTTCCATTAGCATTTTGATACTGTTTAATTACCTAATCATTAACTGGGATTTTTTTTTTTTTTTTAACTTGATTAACCAATAACTCTGAGAACTCCAACTTTATATTCACCACTAGGAATCCTGTGATTAACATCCCTTACTTTGTTGATTCCTTTTTTTAGTTGTTCTGTTTTTTCCTGTTAAATCTCACGTTGCTCTATAAAGGTATTCTATTGTCAGAAGCCTAACACAGTGTTAGCTCACAGTTGCTATTCAGAAATGATTGTTGAATGAATATCCATCACAAGCAGTAAACATTTATTCAAAGCTTCAGTGAATAGACCTTCCTACCAAAATGTCCCCACTTCATTATTTTCCATGTTTTTTATATAATTGATAGTAAAAAATTACTCTGGTTTTAAATTAGTTACTTATGTCTTTTTTAGGATGGATCTGAATGTCTAATTATTTTAGATATTTGGCTTACTTCAGATTAGACCTCCTTTCCCAAAATCTCAACTATTGTAATTTCGTGGAATTAAATGACTAGAGATAAGAAGTCAGATAAAATCCTGTAGTCTTACTCAGGGGTCAGAAAACTTTTCCTATAAAAGACTACTTAGTATTTTAGGCCTTGCTGGCCATATGGTGTTTATCACAGCCATTCATCTGTGACAGTTTTGCACAATAGCAACCATAGACAATATGTAAACATGAGTATGGCTGTGTTCTCCAAAAACACTTTATTTATGGGCACTGAAATTTTAATTTTATATAATTTTCATTTGTCACAAACTTTTTTATTTTAATTTTTTTCTTCCAACTATTTAAGAATATAAAAGCCATTTTTAGCTCTCAGAGGCCATGTGGAAACAGGCAGCAGGCTGAATTTGGCCTGTAAGTTACAGGTTTCTAACCCTTGTCTTGAGTTAAATCCTATAGGTCACTGTCTCCCAGACTATTCTTAGGAGCAGTGGTGGTGTTCACGCTAGGTTCTGTGATAAAGTTTTGGACTTCTTGCTCACTAGCACTCTTAAGAGATTTATAAAGCGTGTTGGCATATTAAAAGTTCTGAGATACTTTACAGACCTGTTTAACTTTGTTTTACTTGTTTTCTCCCCAGCCTAGATGACCGATGAGTACCTATTAAACATTAAGGGATGCTAGTGTTCAGCAGATAAAATTTGGGAAATGACAGTAGACTAATAGAACTATGGACTTAAGGAGTGGAGAAATAAATTACTGGTTGAATGACCAATTGTTTTCACCAAATTCTTGTTTTGCTTGAACTGCTTTAGGTGAACACAAATCCATGTATGTTCCCAAGCCCTCTCCTGTAGCTCTTTCTGAGCCGTTCTTCCAGCTTTTTGTTCTTTTATGTCCCATCTTCCTTTGATTTTTCTTTTTGTTGTTTTTTTCTAGAGACAGGGTCTAACTTTGTTACCCAGCCAGAAATGCAGTTGGCATGATCATAGCTAGCTGCCTCCTTGAATTCCTGGGCTCAGGGGATCCTCCCGCCTCAACCTCCTGAATGTCTAGGACTGGAGGCACATGCTTCTGTGCCTGGCTCATTTTTAAAATTTTTTGTAGAAACGGTGTCTCACCGTCTTGCCCAGGCTGGTCTTGAACTCCTGGGCTCAAGCAGTCCTCCTGCCTTGGCCTTCCAAAGTGCTGGGATTACAAGCGTGAGCCACTGCAGCTAGCCTGATTTTTCTTTCCCACTGTTTTCCATTGTGAATGCTAGATCTTTGATAAGGAACTTTTGCCAGTAAAAGTGGTTTAGTGAGATGGGTCCAGAATTAAAACTGATTTAGTACCTTAGCTTATGTGGTATTTGCATATTTAAAGTGTATGTTTGTGAAAACATTTCTGTGGCCTTTTGACAGTTTCATTCACCTAAATCTGCTCAAGAGTAGACTATAAATTCAGTATATTTGGAGTTTTTGTAAATAAAGAAATCTGTAATTGTAAACTTAAAAAAACTTGTTTTCGTTGGTAAGGAATAAAAAACTGCCTGAAGAGGAGGTGGAAAGCAGTAGGACACCATGGTTATATGACCAAGAAGGTGAAGTAGAGAAACCGTTTATCAAGACTGGATTTGCAGTGTCTGTAGAAAAATCTACAAATAGTAACCGCAAAAATCAAGTAGATACAAACGGAAGAAGACGCCATTTTGATGAAGAATCATTGGAAAGCTTTAGCAGTATGCCTGATCCAGTAGATCCAACAACAGTGACTAAAACATTCAAGACAAGAAAAGCATCTGCACAGGCCAGCCTGGCATCTAAAGATAAAACTCCCAAGTCAAAAAGTAAGAAGAGGAATTCTACTCAGCTGAAGAGCAGAGTTAAAAACATCAGTAAGTGTTGAAATTTGTTGAATGTTGATCAGTGTAAATGTTGGTAATCTTACTTTGACATGTTGACATATATATAGTTTCAGAAAGGCTAGATGTGCAGGTGCTGTGCTAGACTTAGTTGAACAGTCATTTTTAGTTACCTTTATATGTAATTTTTTTTTTTTTTTACAAAATAATATTTGAAATAGGGTTTAATTTTCTGGATTAATGTTGTAAAACATGGCATTTATTTTTGGTGCTTCTTAAAGCTTCAATTTTGTAAGTTCTTGAAAAATTGCCAAAATGCCCGCATTTTACTCTTTTTTCTCTTTTGCTATTGTATTGGATCCTGCATCCAACTATTTGGTCATGACTTTTAGATGGATTCTTGATTGGTGCGTTTAAGGAAAAGTGGTCTTCTTAAATATATTGTAGTTTTTGAATATCATATAGATAAAACAGTTTCAAAACAGGCTGGCTTTAGTCCTCCTGGAGCTAAACTTATATTTTACTCAATCTTGCCATTGAGTATCAAAGTTCTTTTAAAATTTTTTTTGAAGTTTTCTTTATGGTGTTAGCTTCATACCTCTTAGAAAAATATATTTTCTGTGATTTTTGAATTATTTACTGAAGTATACTAGGTTAAAAATAGTTTTATTAGCTAAAATCTGCAGTGTTACAGCTGAAGGATATTCTTTTTATGTTTGCAAAGGATGGGCTGTGGCCTTGAAATGTTGTTCTGAGTTTAAGGAGATAATATTTGGTGCTTAAGGCCAGGTGCGGTGGCTCATGCCTGTAATCCCAGCAAGTTGGGAAGCTGAGGCAAGTGAATCACCTTAGATGAGGAGTTCGAGACCAGCCTGTCCAAATGGTGAAACCCCATCTCTACTAAAAATACAAAAATTAGCCGGGTGTGGTGGGCGTGCCTGTAATCCAGCTACTCAGGAGGCTGAGACATAAGAATCGCTTGAACCTGGGAGGCAGAGGTTGCAGTGAGCCAACATCATGCCACTGTACGCCCAGCCTGGGTGACAAAGCAAGACTCTGGAAAAAAAAAATTGGTGTTTAAGAACAAAGTATTCCAGGCTTATAATCAGAAAGTTTGAAATGCATTGCACACTGCTAACTCCCTTTCTTGGGAGTTCACAACACATACAAGTATAGTAAAGGCCCTGAGAAATCCTGTAGTAAAAAAATACACTTGTAAACTTTGGCAGCCTTCATCTTAATCACTTTTGCATAATGAAACCTTTGAAAAATCTAATGAAAACCACAGATATAAAAGAGAATGTTGGCACATTTTTAAAAATTTCAGTAATTCATCTATCCTTGAAGTCCTTGGCTCCTACCTTGAAGCCCAGGTGAAGAATCTGACTGATGGTTTAAAAAGCAAATTTGAACAGTAGTGAAAGGGGTGACATTTTTCTTAGCATGCACATTATCAGCCTTGAAGTAATTTTCTGGTTATAAAGGTTTAGGAGAAGCTGGTTTATTTAGTAAATTAATTGGTAATCTGAAGCTATTCAGAAAGTTACTGTGCTTTTCCAAGATTACTCTTGGTGCTACCAGAGAAGATTTAAGTAGATAATGGCCATTTTGAGACAGGGCCGTTATGCAACTCAGAACTTTCTATTTCCTAGTGCTTTGCCCCCACAAAGATGCTCTTTGTCATATAAATAAATGAAGAAAAACTGACATTTTAAATTTCAGCATCGTCTCATTCAAATAGTTAATTTGAATCTGATAGGGCAACACTTCTTAAACTTGAGTGTTTGACACAAATCTCCTTAGGAATACAGTTTAAGTGCAGATTCTTGATTCATTTGGCTTGGAAGGGACGTGAGAGTCTGCCTTCCTAACAGACTCTCTTGTGTTGCCAATATTGGTCTGTGGACTATACTTCAAGTAGCAGATTTTAGAGGAACCTTAGCTAATTTATGGTTATGACCACCTAACCCTAAAAATGCTGGTATGTTTTTAGTTTTTTGAAACTCCTTTATTCTGGGGAATTACTTTTCCAAATACGTAGTTCAGCCTTTTAACTTCAAGATAAAGATTGACATTCTGATCTTTGTGCTCTTTTCCTTCATATTGAGGTATGAAAATACCTGCTGGAAACATAGAGTCAGTTTGCTCAGCAAGCATTCAAGACCACCTGTTAGTGAGTGCCCTGCTTTAAGGCACACACACACAAATAAAAGGCTTGATAGCAGAATCAAACTATACATAGCAGAGCCAAAGTAATATGGGATAAAATCAAATTAGCTAAATCCTTGCTATTCAAAATCTGAACCGTGGACAAGCAGCGTTACATCATCTGGGAGATTATTAGAAATGCATGCTTTTGGGCCAACTAAATCAGTATGTATTTTTCTTCCGTATGCATTTTAGCAAGATTTTTGATATGAAGACATGTACTTGAAAGTCTGAAAAGTACTGAACTGGACCACTGGTTTATGTGGTTTTTATTCCTTTTGTGCTATAGGAATGGTCAAGATTTGTTAGAAAAAAGGATTTTTACGCATCTTTAACCTCCACCTCCCGTATTCAAGCAATTATCCTGCCTCAGCATCCTGAGTAGCTGGGATTACGGGCATGCGCCACCATGCCTGGCTAATTTTGTATTTTCAGTAAAGACGGGGTTTCTCCATGTTGGTCAGGCTGGTCTTGAACTCCCAACCTCAGGTGATCTGCCCCCTACGGCCTCCCAAAGTGCTGGGATTACAAATGTGAGACACTGCGCCTGGCCAATTTTTATTGTATCTTAAAGGAAGTGGTAAATAGAGGTGGGTGGGGAAAAGTGTAGAAAGCCTTTCAAATTGTTACTACAGTAAATATAGAGTGGGAAAGAAGCAGGAGGAGAGGAATTGGGAACAGATATGACAAATATTTCAGCATAGTGGGAATTACATTGCTGTCCTGAGAGATATAGTACAGCCAGTTATACTGTCCCATACTTACTAGAGTGATCCAAATATATATGTGTTTTTTGTGCATGGTCACATTCTTTCAGAAGTAGCTTCATAAATCTCATTTAACTTTGTTTCCCATGATGGAAATGTGTTTTAATCTTTAGAAGGTCTTTATATGTGAAAATACATATTGCATGTGAGGTAAGAATATATAAATTATGTAATAATCATCTTTTAAACTTGAGTTCAGACTTAGACCTTATGAGTAGAACGTGATTTCCTGCCTTACTGAGTTTTTCTGTTACCAGACGTATTATTCGGTTACACTGTACTCTTCTGATGATATTAGAGAGTAGGAGCCTAGATTTTCTTCACTCTTTTCTTGGAAAATTGGATAGAACTGTTAAGGTACTGACTTCTGGGTTCTTACTGTCCTTGAATCTTTTCATTTCTTCCTTCCTCCCTTTCCTGTTGCTCGCTAATGAAGATGGACATGAAACGGATGTGAAACATTAGGCAAGGCAAGGCCTGACAGATTTGGCTGGTAAACAACCAGTAGACTTTTTGAATTTAGTCATTTATTAATTACTTAGGCAGAGAAAAGAGTAGTCCAAGGGGCCATTTCTCTGTGTCCCTTGTTTCACACTTGAAAAGAGTGACACCAAAATAAAAGGGGCTGGCTAATGATTGTCCCTTGGATGGTGGGACACCGTGTTGCTGAGGAATCATTGCTGTACTGCAGCTAAGCCTGTTCTTAGTCTGCAAATGTACTGTACAAGGGTGAGGAAGAAAGGTCTAATGTTTCATTAGAACCTGAGAGGAGATGGGAAACTCTCCTGACAGAAGCATCTCAGGGCAAGAGGGAGGTGAGTGGAAAATGTTCATCCACATAGCAACTTCTCACAAGCCTCTCTTGCCCATGTTGCAGGATGATTCTGTGGCCTTCTGCCAAGACAGCTTGTACTGTGATTCAGACCTTAACCTCTCTGCACATGTGCAAGGTCTCTAGAGTGCCATGGCTGATCTGTTTCCCTTCAGTGGAGGCCCAAGTAGAAGTACTGTTTCTTCTAGTAATGTCAGCCCCCCATGCTGAGAAAAACAGAATGAGAAAGGGAAAGAGTAGTGAAGTGGCATAGGAGATAACATCCTTATCTCTCATCACAGTTACCCTCAGTAATAAGCATCATGTGTTACTCTTGCTATTGTTATACTTTCTGGCCTAGCCAGTGTTTCTCAGAAGTATTATTAACCTTCATTAATTCTACTCTTCCCAGATGATTACTATCAAGGTATCCAGGAGAGAAAGAATTCAGTCACACATTAGTACCTTAACTTTGGAAATGTAGCCTTTGATGTTTTTAATTTGGGACTCATATATAAAACCATAGTTTTTTTTTTCTTTTTTTCTCTTTTTGTAGCATCTTAATAATTATAGCCTGCTTCTCTTCACAGTTTTAGCTATTTTGGAGGATGACTGTGTGTATGCCTTTTTAAAGTACCTATTGTGACTCCCCAGTGAGAATGTTGTATATACCACATTACCTGTATTTTAATTTTGGTTAAAATTTATTCAGCATTTTTCATCTGATATAGTAACAGCATTTAAATGTTTCATTTCACTTATATAAATGTTCATGTTAGAATAACATACTTAAAATTTTTTTCTTTAGAATCATTGTATGTTATTAAGTGAGCAATATACTACCAGTCATGTCATTTTACATATTACTTTTGGCACTCATACCCTTTATTGCTGGTTTTATATTAAGATCAATAATAATCAAGAGGCCTTTTAGTAAATTTCATGGAGACTGGGTGGCAAAGGCTAAACTTTAGTCTGAGAGACCAGTGAAAAAACTTGGAACCTAAATTTGAGATGATGAAGTCTTATGTGATGACCTTGGAAACAGAGAGGGAGGGTTGAATCTAGATGGGATATCACAGATAATAAATTGACAGTGTTTTGGGAAATTATTTGTTATTAGTCGACCTGCAGTGATCTGGAAGATGCAAGCAAGGCTTTAGGGTCTGCTGGCTCTTTCCTAGAGTGTCAGTAGCGTAGTCCGATCTCCATGATTCTTGGAGAAAGCTATGATGGAGGAGATCTGTGCAATTCCTCCTATTATTGACCCTTCCCCTTACCCCCAAGAGCAGCAATGTTTTGCTACTTCAAGCTACTAGTTGGTAGAAGGGTTATTGAGTGAGTAGGTGGCAGCCTTCCTTAACCCTGTACATGGGAGAGCATTAGTCTTCACAGCTGAAGAAACTAAGCAGTAGAGAAGATTCCTCCCATAGTCTTGATGAGGGACTGACAACTTGCTAGCGAAAATGTTGCTTGACCACAGCAATGAGACTTCCATGCACCCTCATCTTGCCATCATTAAAGCTATCCAGCATTTGGGTCCAGCCTTAAGAGAAGGTGAGAGTCATGACTAGGCCAATGAAGATAACAGTGCATATAAAAGGGACCTAGTTACCAGAGAGAAAACAGAAGTAGACCACTGGAACAGGCAAAACCTAGTGAAAATAGAATTATTGAACAAAATATTGAACAAATATGCTTGAACAAAATAATAAGGGCACATAAACAGATTGAATTATAGCAAATTCTTTAGAACTAGAGAAAAAATAACTAAGTTTTAATGTTTAGATTATTTGAAAAAGAGGACACGTGCTATTAGGTTCCAAATTACTGGCCTAGAAAATCAAGGGGAAGAATATGTCATTAAATGGAAAGAAAGTACTAACAGATAAAATCAAGAGAAAACAATTAGAGGCTTACAAGAAGTTCTAAAGGAGAAAAAAAAAAAAACAAAACAGGTGGACAAGCAATAACTAAATAATAGATGGGATGAAGAAAGACTTGAGACTGCAGATCAGAACAGCTGACAGTTGTCTAGCCAGGAGAGAAGTGAGGGAAACACACAAACACCTATGCAGAGTCTGGTAAAAATCCCTGAATTCCAAGGAAAAAGTAAAAATCCTCTAAGCTTCCACATGAAAGACCAAGTTGCATACAAAGAAAAAGAACCAGGGCAACACCAGGCAATCTTCCTTACCACACAAGTAGAAGTAGAAAAAGGTGGAATGACGCTACACAGTTGACAAAGAACTGCAACTCAAGAACCTTGTACTCAGCCAAAGGACCCTCCACGTGTCAGAATGAAAAGGAGATACTAGTTGATCCTATTTGAGGAAACCTGAAGAAACAACCTATGAATCATAAGAGATCTTTATACAAGGGAAGATAAAGACAAGAGAGAACAGTTTAATAAAGGAAACAGTAGATCAGTCTCACTAATATAAATTCAAAAGTAAAAATAAAATATTAGCACATTGAATCTGCCATTGTATCAAAAGAATTCTAGACAATCTACACTAGACTATCTACAGACATGTAATGATGATTTGTTACCAGGAAATCTGTCAACATGATTTATTCTAGCAAAGGGACAAAAGTCATAATCATAGCAGATTAGATAAAATTTGAAGCTATTCTCATGGGAATTTGAAGTAAAATGGGTATAAGAAGATAGTTATGTCTGTAATCCCAGCACTTTGGGAGGGTGAGGCAGGTGGACTGTTTGAGCCTGGTAGGTGGAGGTTGCAATGAGCCAAGATTGGCAACAGAATGAGACTCAGTCTCAAAAGAAAATTAAAAAAAAGGAAAACAAAGGCAGTTATTTAAGTGTAGTAAAGACTGTTAGCCAGTGTGCACCATTGTAAATGAAAATACTCCAGAGATATTTCTGTCTCAATTAGGAACTAAACAGGGATTCCTTCTGTACCACCAACATTATTTATCATTATTTGGGAAGCATTATGTCAAATAATTGGAATTATAATTGTAATAAATATTGGAAAAGGAAACAAATTTTATGTGTTTTTTCTAGTGGCATTTTTATATACTAAGCCCAAGAGATACTGGAAAGTAACTCCTAGAGTTACAAGGTAAACTGTTAAAAGTGACTGGTTGTGGAATAAGGGTGTGAATATTTTTCTCTATTGTAATATCCAGTAGGATGAAAGTGGAGAGGAATGCCCTTCTCACAGTAGTAGTCAAAAGTGTTTGAGTGGGGGGCGGTAAAACGTAAGGAACAGATTTAACAAGGAAAGTACTAGGTCTATAAAAAGCTGTATTTTTGAAGAACGTCAGAAAGATTGAACAAATATAAAAACATAACCATGTTCTTAAGATGGAAAAGATGGAAATGCGTAAGATTATTACATTCCAGTTCTCTCCAGATGAACACATACTTTTAATTTGATTCCATTTTGAGTCCCCAGAGATGGTTTTTAAAGTTGAAAAAATACAAATAAAAACTTCAAAGCTTATATGGAAGGACAGGTGCCCCAGAATAGTCAAGAAAAAAGTGAAGCTAGTAGGACTTGCCTTAGCAGATATTTGATCATACCGTATAACTTGTGTTTCTAAGTGAATGAAAATGGCATTGGAATAGGTAAGTTGAACAGATAAAATGTCCAAAAATAAAACCCCAAATATTGGAATTTAGTATATTGACCGATGTATATTTTAATTCAGTGGAAAGAGGGTAGGTATAGCCACCTATCCATGTGGAACCAAAAAAAAAAAAAGAATTTCTACCTTGTGTATATACCAAAATATTTTAAAAACTTGAACATTTTGTAGAATATATGTATAACCTATTGATGGGTAAGACCTCTTAAGTCATGTCACATAAAAGATAAGAAAGGTAAATATATTTGACTACTCTCCCTCTATAATGGATATTTGTATATATCGGATGTAATTCTTATGTTTCCTAATATTAAAAATTGCTAACTTGGAATTCTAGTAGAGATTTGGGGTCATTTAAGGTCTGCCATATACTTCGAATTGGAATATACTCATTAAGATGAGTATCAAAGAACAGTGAAGGTTAGATTTATTACTGTTACCTCATGCTTCCAAAGGGTATTGCAAAGATACCTCCAAGACATATTTACTGTTTTGTGTCCTGTTTATACCAGGCCTTCCTAGCATTCTAAATTGAGTTACCTGTACTGTTTGACTGTGGAAACCGATTTCCCTTTTAGTGTGAGTTAGTTGCAACTGATAACAGTTGTCACTTTTTTTACTCAAGGGTATGAAAGTGCCAGTATGTCTAGCACATGTGAACCTTGCAAAAGTAGGAACAGACATTCAGCCCAGACTGAAGAGCCTGTTCAAGCAAAAGTATTCAGCAGAAAGAATCATGAGCAACTGGAAAAAATAATAAAATGTAATAGGTCTACAGAAATATCTTCAGGTATGTTCTTTTTTGGTTTGCATTAATATAAGGAGGTTTTCAGCTTAGATTTGAAAAGCTGTAATAAAGCAGGTTTTAAAATTGGTGTATCACACATATCTATCATGTGGAAGGTTTTATAGTGGAAATTATAGTGCACATTCCTTGATACTGAGAAATAGAAACTGAAAATATTTTTTGTTATACTGTTTAATAGTTTTGAACACGTTTTAATAAAATTCTAAACAAAGGATATTTACAGTTGTGGAACTCCTCATTTCAAATTCTGAATATCTTATCTGATTAAGAATTAGTTAGGAAATCATGTCATCCCCTGCTTCAATCCTTTGGCTCACTGTGCCTACAGGATAAAGTCTGAATGCCTTCACGGAACATACATGGCCATCAGGGATTTGATTGCTTCCTGCCTTTCCAGACTCATTTTTCAACACCTTCTGCTTTGCACTTTTTTCTTTGTGTGGCACTGAACTGAAGTTTTTGTATAGCTATCACATTCTTTCTTGCCTCGGTAGCTATTTTTCTATCTCAAGTCCTTTCTACCTTTTTTGTAAGTTCATTTCTCTGCTGGACTCTTAATACAATTTTAATTCTGGAACTCCATTCTAATCCAAGCTCGGATAGTTTCCCCTTTCTCCTGTTTTCCTTGTAGCTTGTATAAACCTACTTTGTTGCCTTAATCACATTATTATAGTATTTCCCTGTTTGTCACTTTTTGAGTCCCTTGGCAGCAAATAATACTTAAGTAAGCACCAGTAGTTTCCTAATTTGTAAAGAATATCCCAAAGAAATATGGAGAGAGAGAGGCAATAACATGACAGTAGACTATACTGGGTAGACCTTAATCTAGTAGCTTTCATTGGCATTAGTGTAAAATGCATGCGTTTTTTGCTTAAAAATGATAATAGCAGCTATCTTTTGTGCCATGCTCCATTATTTTCAAATTACCAACAAATCTCATTTGAGCCTCATAACGCTGAGTTGGTTTGATTTCCATTTTTCAGAGGAAACATAGTCAAAGAGAGGGCACTTTTTGTTTTGTTTTTCAGTACTCATAAAGGCTCAGTAATATAAACTGGTACAACTTTTCTGGAAAGTTTCAAAAGTCACGCCCTTAATCCAGTAATTGTACTTGTAGTAATCCAACCTAAGAAAACCAAAGGGGAAAAAAAAAAGAAATTAAGATTTAGCATTGTCTCAACAGTATGATCTCAACTATGTACAGACGAAAATTTGAATGCAAAAAGGCTGGAAGAAAATGCATCAAAATGTTAATAGTGGTTTTATCATCTTTAAACTCATGAGCATTTACATTTTGTAATCAGAAAAGAAACATCACATTTGTTTGCATTTTGAAATGAATTTCTTAAGCTCACATTGCTAGGAAGTGGTAAAGCTGAACTTAGAAGCTGGGCTTCTGTTAAGTCTGTGTTCCTTTCTGCAAAAATATCAATCCTGTTCTCCTGATCCCAGAATTTTACTAAAATTTTATAATTTTCATCTCCTTTTACTCTCTCTACCAAATAGTGATATCTTCAAAAAATAAACAGTCAGGTAGAGGTCGAAGAAGGACACTAAACTGAAAGTCTTAATTGGTCATAGTACTTCAGGCCCTATTACTGTTACTTAGAGAAATATAATGATTGAATTTTGGTGAATTAAAAAATGTTTGAGTAGTATAAATATGCACAAGTTTACATATTTACATTCTGAAAAGATTTTTAAAAAAAAATTTTTGAGACGGAGTCTCGCCCTGTCACCCATGCTGGAGTGCAGTGGTGCGACCTCAGCTCACTACAATCTCTGCCTCCCAGGTTCAAGCAATTCTCTTGCCTCAGCCTCCCGAATAGCTGGGACTACAGGCGCGTGCCACCACGCCTGGCTAATTTTTTGTATTTTTAGTAGAGACAGGGTTTCACTGTGTTAGCCAGGATGGTCTCCATCTCCTGATCTCGTGATCTGTCCGCCTTGGCCTCCCAAAGTGCTGGGATTACAGGCGTGAGCCACTGCACCCAGCCCTGAAAAGATTTATTTTTAGTTTTAATCATTAACCTAGAATTCTTTATAGCATGTAAGGCATGTTACTTTTTGTAACTCTACTCATAACATATGATTATTAGAGTATAGCATAATATGACTGCTAGTATTAAATTACGCAGTCCTCTTCTCCCGTGGGTGTTGTGGGAGGTTCACCTTGATGTGTATGCTTCTAAAAATGAATGATAGAAGTTTATTATGATAGTCATCATAAGTTGCCTTAATATAGGTTTATAGCAAACCTTTTGAGATTTTTTTCCTTGAGATTATTTTTAAGTAGAGCATAAGCCTTAGTTCAGGCAAACAATTTTAAAGAAATTTGCTTATTTCTTTTTTTCATTCACTTATTCATGTTATAGACCCTGTCTTTACTACTCATACACATTTTATGTTCATCCTTATGTCTGCCCTTTCCTACAGCACATGCTAGGAGAATACTACAGCAGTCTAACAGAAATGCATGCAATGAACCGCCAGGTAACAATCTGCGTAGTTTTGGTGTCCACTTTTGTTAATTTTTTCCCATTGGTCCTAAAAGTTTTATTGTTCTGATTTTTTTCTTTTTTAGATTTAGCTTAGAGTATATATGTTATGTGACTATTGTAAAAGATAATTTATATTCATAAAATTCTGAAGCCTTTCATTTATAATTCTTGGTAAAATTGGCTGCTTTTGTTTTCATATTCTGTTAGTGTATGTAACCTAACACATAAGTGTAATAGAAACCTTTTTTATGGTTTAGTACTTGATTTGAGGTTATTTTGTACTTCTTCAAAGCATTAATATTTCTTAGAACTAGAAATACAGTTTTATAGTTTATTTTTCCTTTTCAGTCAACATCTTAGAAAAATAAGTCATCAAACAAAACAACTATTTATTACATGCAAAGACTGTGATAAATAAAGATCATGGAAATTACAAAGATTCCCAAATACTATTTTAGTCTTTAATATAAGTATTCTCATTAAATATGGTTCTTTATGATTTAGAGATGTAAATTTTTTTTAACTCCTCCTGCAGCTTTACATGAATGAAATGTAAAAGCCAGTTTGAATGGAACCTTTAGGGGAATCTAGAGATATAAAACAAGGACCCATAACTGACAAAGCTGAGTATATCAGTAGCACTTTGAAAAGAAAGAACTCTGAAAATAGGATATAAAAACAGGATGGAATTAGAGAAGCCTGATTAAGATTAGGGATTTTTCTAGCCAAAGCTAATCAATTTCAGTTCAGGAGGAGAAACTGGCATAAACTTTCCACCTCTTGACTGCAGAAGTGGTGGGGGAATGAAGCTTGTGTTTGGCATATTCATTATTTGAGAATAATTTAATTTTTAATATGCAATTTAGATTGATAATTTTATCACATACAGAGGTATTAAATATGTCATTAAACAGTTCTTGTGGCTTTGAAATGAATTTTTTAAATTAAGTATGATTAAACTGCACTATAGTATACAAGTTGAAAGTTTGCATATCAAATTCTTTTTACCTGGATTTTTCCCATTAGTAGAGATTTCTTACGGAGATAGTTTTGGTTCCTGCTTATTATAATAAGTGTTATTTTTGTAACAGTTCATACTTTAAAACTATTAGGAGAACTTAGTGTATCACTTCATTTTATACCTGTAACTGAGGCAAAATAGGGAAGTTGCATATTTGTTATATATAATTATTTTCTGTTAATACCTTGTATTAGTTATGTTATTATTTTATGCTTGTGGAAATTGAGACCTGAAGATATTATTAGCCGAGTAGTGGAAAATTTTTCTGTTAGAGCACATTCTTTCTGCATTTTTTTTATCCCTCTCACAAAAATGAGTTTTTATAATCTTGTATATATACTTATTTGAAAGCACAATATATTAAAATACTCAATATTTTAAATTCTCTTTCTTAGAAACTTATTGATTTTTGCAGAACTTGAATATTTTACTAGCTATTTGTGGTTCTTTTGTTGAACTAGAGTTTACAGAATTTGATAGCTAGAACTACTTTGAGATTTTTTATCCCACAGACAACTCAAAATGGGAACAGTTCCTAATTTGCCCTCTTAAAATTAAGGGTATAACTGGATACCTTTGAGTGTGATAATTTTGTGTTATCAACAAGTAAATATAGCCAAATTGTAGCTAAATAATAGAGTGATGCCTAGATTCTGTGAAACTGAAAACTTCAGTTGGGTTACTTGCCTGCTCCAATATACACTGAGTATGTAAATAAGACACAGTAGTGAAATTGACCTATTATGTTAGGTTACAAATTTGGTTACTCATCAGCATAGCACTTTTCTTTGTGATGTATGAGATTTGATAATTAGACTATATTGGATAAACCTTAATCTAGTAGTTTTAATTGGCAACATTCAGTTTATTCTTTTTAACATTAACAAAATATACAAACTTCCTTTTCTGTAATGAAGTTCATATTAGCAAAAGCAAAAAAGAAATGAGCACTTAGCTTATTTCTTAGTGTTGAAAGATTTTCACTGATGTTTCCCATAAAATGTATAATATTTTCTGTATATTTTATATGACCAGAAATAAATATGATTCTTAATAATGCTAATAATGCTAGGTAATATTATTCATGCATTAACATTTTATTTTTAGTATAAAATACATATCTTGATATCTTAAGATTTTATTTATATTGGTAATATTAAGCTTCTTTTCTTCTTTAAAAGCTCTGAAATAGAATTGTCTAAAATAGAATTTTTAGGTAATTTAAAGCTGAGAGTAATGATGTTAGCTAATAAAAGTTGTCATGAAGGTATTTCATCAATATTAACTTTCTGGTCTTTTATGTATTCCAGAAACTGGGAGTGATTTTTCCATGTTTGAAGCTTTGCGAGATACTATTTATTCTGAAGTAGCTACATTAATTTCTCAAAATGAATCTCGTCCACATTTTCTTATTGAACTCTTCCATGAGCTTCAGCTACTTAATACAGACTACTTGAGACAGAGGGCTTTATATGCATTGCAGGTATCTGGTACCTAACATAATTTTTCCTACCCTATTATCACCTTCTTCATGATTACATCTGGTTGCTTTCTTAGACTGAAGCATGTACCATATGAATTTTGATCTGTTCTCTGTGTGCTTTCTTGACGTTTTGTTTAAAATTTTTGTATAGCTTAAGTAGCATTAAAGTATTTTTTTGAGTACCTTTTCAGTGTTTTGTCTACTTCTTCACACTTAACCTGTGAGGGTAGAAACAGTACATTTTTCCTTCCATCTGCTTTTACTTTTGAATCTGTAATATAAATGAATGATTAAGCATGTATGTTTTATGTAAATAATGATCTTATTTTCTTATTTAGGACATAGTATCCAGACATATTTCTGAGAGCCATGAAAAAGGAGAAAATGTAAAGTCAGTAAACTCTGGTACTTGGATAGCGTCAAACTCAGAACTTACTCCTAGTGAGAGCCTTGCTACTACTGATGATGTAAGCTGATAATGATTAGTGAACTGTAGACATAATTTTAGTATGCAGCAAATAAAAGTTAAATAGGTTATTGTCAAATTGTAGGTAGACCTAATATACTTGTTTTTCAGCTTTTTTTAAAACCTGGGTATAATGTGTTATTTTATTTTGAGGGCAAGTTATAATATGCAATCAAAATATGGTAGCAGACACCAAAAATTAGGTATGTATGATAGCTTATGAGGTCTAAGATAGCCATATTTATGTCATTATTACCCAGTATAGAGGCTGACTCTTAAAAGACGTTTACAAATGTATGTTGTATTTATTTAAGATACTTAGTAAAACAGACAGCAATGAGATTATAGTAAAAACCCTTGAATGAATAAATACAGGATAAATCAGGTCTTTGGGTTAAAAAAAAAAAAAGCCTAGACAAAAGAAAGTCTTCCAGGAAAAAACTTGTGATTTGATGTATTCCAGTTGATGGAGAAAATTTTGAATAGAATAAAAAGGACCTGGAAATGGAGAAGAGTGCTGAGGAGAATGGTATAAATTTAGTAAGCTGTGTCCTCCAAATAGCACTTAGCACATCACTGATTGAATAACCGTGAGAAAACTGCTAGTATACTGAGGAGATAATGTGCTAGGTGTTTGGGAATCACCTATTTCAAGGTTCAGGCCTTGCTTTTATTGTAAAATATTTTATGTGGTCGTGGGATAGCAAATACGTTCCTTTTTTTAATGACAACTCTAGCACCTGGAGTTATGTGGGTAAGAGTTCCATAGTTGATTAGCAAATATCGGCTATAGGTAGAGAGTTGGAAGTTACTGTTTCTGCCTTTTGTTGAAGTGTTAATACTAAATTTTTTCTGAAGACAGTGTTTCCTCAAAGGATTGTCTTGCCTCTTCAGATACAGTAATTTTCTGAGTTTTTCTGAATTTTTGCTCTTTAACTTCTCATATTTAAAATAATAGTTCCCTAGCTCATCTTTTGTGTTTAAATGTTTTCCCACTGGACTCTAACTTCTTTAGTACTATAACATAAAGCTGTGTCTAAAAACTACATGGTTTTAATTAACTTTGCAATGTGAAATGTGAAGTAGTGTTTAAGTATTTGCTCCTTTGGATTGTTATTACAACTAATTGAAAATTGTGTATTCCTTTTTGTTGGAAATGAAATGCGATCTGCTTGAATACATAAAAAATAGTTGTTAAATTATATTAAGGTTTATTGGGCATTGAAATAACTTGAGAGAGAATGAACAGTCTCCATTCCTAGATGTATTTTTCAATAATTTTATATCCTTAATTCCAGTGCTTTCACTTTTATCCAAGTTTCATACAGGCAGCATTACTTTGATTTATTTTAAGAGATTGTAGCACATTGGTTTTCACCATTGATAGCACATTTTGAAAGTTGAGCTACAATTTAGGATAAAGTTAACCTAAGAAGGTTTTAAAATCAAATGAAATTTAAAGATGCTATACTACTTGACAAGTAAGGACTTGGGATAGTAATTGTGTTTAGTATTACTTTAATTAAGTGACTAAATCAGTTCTTTGATATTTCTTCCAAAACTTAAACTCAGCATTAAGGTCAGCATCTTCCCTTTACTAATGCCGGTTAATCAGCAGCACAACAACATCCAGTGTTGACACTCACAGATCTGAAGCAGCAGTATCCAGTAGAACTTTCTATAGTGATGGAATTATTTTATGTCTGCATTTTCTAATGCTGTAGTCATTAGCCACATGCTAGCAAGTACTTGAAGTGTAGCTATTATGACTGAGGAACTAAGTTTTAAATTTTATTTAAATAGCCATGTGGTGTTTTTTGTATTGGGCAGATTTAGAGCCTCATTCTCTAGATGCTTCTATGCTTCTTGAGCTCCATTTTTGAAGCTTTTACAAAGATATATTAAGATGTGTAAGAGATACCTGTCTTGCCCAGGGAAGAGAGAAATGAAAGTGAAACTAGGTGTCTGGGAGTTTAAGTCAAGGAGGATGGAGTGGAGACATTGAGGTTTAGGAAGAAGAACACACTTTGCGTCTCCTGCTCCTGATGATAATAAAATGGTAAAAACACATCTGTCTTCAAGTCTTACTTGAAGAAGTAAAAAAATTGTTTCCCTATTTCTAAAATATGTTCCTTAATGTCCACATTTCCTTTAATCAGGGACGAATCTTTGATTTCATAATTGAAGATAGGAAACTTTAAAAAGATCAGTAGTTAAGGGAAAGAACACAACTGTAAAATGTCATAATCAAAATGTGAGACACCCTGCCACTATAAACAAAATTAATTTGAAATGACCTAAAGTCCTGTAAAAGCCAACACTATTAAAACTTTTAAAATAAAATGGGAGAAAATTATGACCTTGACATAGGCCAAGTTTTCTTAGGGCACAGAAAGCACTAACTATAAAAGAAGAAATTAATAAATTAGACTTGACAAAAATAGGAATTTTCTGGTTTTCAAAAGATACTCTTATGGGAAAATAATCCCAGTATGTACATCTGACAACTGTCTGGTATCTAGACTATATAAAGCTTACAACTCAGTTGTAAGACAACTCATTAAAAACTGGGCAAGAGATTTGAACAGGCACTTAATGAAAGAAGATATATGAATGGCTAGTATGCAAATTAAAGCCACAGAAAATACCACTTCACATCGAGAATGGCTAAAATGAAAAGATTGACAATAAGAAGTGTTGGTGAGAATGTGGAACAGTTGGAACCCTCACAGTCCTTATGAGAATGTAAAATTGCACAACCACTTGGAAAGCAGTTTGGCAGTTTCTTACAAACATAAACGTGGCATGTGACCCAGCAATTTCTCTTCTAGGTGTTCATCCAAGAGAAATGAAAATATGTGTCACAAAAACACTGTACGTTAATGTTCATAGCATCTTTAGTCATGATAGCCTCAAACTGAAGCATCAAGAGATAAATGGATAAACAAACTGTGGTATTTCTATACAGTGGAATATATGCAGCCATTAAAAAATAATGAACTTCTGAAACACACAGCATGGAATCATTTCAGAAACATACTAAGTGAAAGAAGTCAAGACAACGAAGAGTGTATACTGGCTGGTTCCATTTGTATGAAGTTCTACAATCAGCAGAACTGATCTACAGTGATAGAAATCATGAGTAGGGTGTGGTGGAGATTGACTGTAGAGGGGTGTGAAGAAACATCCTGGGCCAATGGAAATGGTCTTTAGGGAATCTGGTTACATGAGTGTATATATTTGTCAAAACTTATCAAACTGTACTTTTAAAGTGAGTGCATTGCATATAAATTATATTTCAATAAAGTTTATTTTAAAAAATGCAAATGATGTTGTGATATTTTTTCCTAGAGATGTGAGACAGCCAGGTAGAGTAAGCTACCAGACATTGTTAGCGTTTGGAGATAGGAGAATGTCCCTGAGAGTAGAGAAATAATTAAAAATGTTAACTTTGCCAAATTAGAATTTAATCAGTAGCTGTGTTTGTGTATGTTTATCTACATAATAACAAATACTCTGCAAGGCTACTTCTGTTACTGTTCTCTGTGACTCTATTCAACATTTAATAACTTTGGTTATATTATCTTGTTTGGACAGAATACTGAGGAAACTTATGAATATCTTTTAGGTGTACAATTTTATGTAAATACTTAGTTATCTCTGTTAAATCCTTAATGTGAAATTCTTAAAAGAAGTACTAGTGATTTTTGTTTGTTTGTTTTACTGTAACTTAGGAAACTTTTGAGAAGAACTTTGAAAGAGAAACACATAAAATAAGTGAGCAGAATGATGCTGATAATGCTAGTGTCCTGTCTGTATCATCAAATTTTGAGCCTTTTGCAACAGATGATCTAGGTAAGCAGGGTTTTTTATAATCTTAGAAACAACTTTAAGTTTATCTGGTCCAGTCTTTGAATTGCATTGATAGGGAAACAAAAGTCTAGAAAGGTGAAGTGTGTGTGGTTGAAAGAATATGGACTTAATTGTCTGTCAGTCTAAAATCAAAAATCTTCTGACTCAACCCTGTGGACAAATCATCCGACATTTTTGACTCTCTGCATATACTAAGGAAATGGGAATCTTACCTACCTTGCTATGTTTTTGTGAAAATATAATGGAACTTACTTGCTTGAGTTCAGAAAATGTTAATTTCCTTTTCCTTAAAGGAAAGGTCATCGTTTAAGGTCATCTAGTTAATTCATGGGAACAATGCAGTCCTCATCTAATCATATTTTTAATAAAAATGTTAAGTTTATAATTTGAGGTAATCAGTCAAATTTCTTAAATAACCTGTAGTGAAAACCTCAAGGAACTCTCAGGCATAACACATGGTTGGTTTTGTTTTGTTTTTTTTTTTTCCTCTCCCATCAGCTGTAAAACAAAAGAGGTTTAGAGGGTTGCCAGACCCCAAAGGAGAAAAAACTCGAGTCCTAGACTTGGAAAGGAAATTTAAGGAAAAGAAAAATATATAGATACTTGATACATTTCTAGGCTGTGGCCAATCAAAAGATACCTGAGAATTCAGTCATTCTGCCATCCGGGGCACTTAGTTCATAAAATAATGTAAATGTCCTGTTACCCTAGTGTTTGTTCACGTGATGAGGAGAAGATTTAGATAATTTCAAAGGTATTTTTCCACTATAAAGAAAATGGCTTAGCCTTGCCCTGTCATTACATTTCTGCTGTTTGCCCAAACAAAAGTATTCCTTTTGCTTATTGTAATTATTGAGGACTCTGAGCCTTAGCTGACTTCTAAGTAAATACTTATTTGGGTCTGCATTGAGTTCATCCCATTACAGAGAAAAATGACTGTGTATAGCTGGCCAACCCTCTTCCCTTAGGTTGTCCCTCCCTTTCTGAGTTGCCAGAATACTTTGACTCCTATGTATTTTCTTTCATTTATTGATTTTTTTTTTTTCTTCTTACAACCCTGCACCACTAGCTGTGTCTGAAGTAGACATAGAATTGGGAAATTTCATTGATAGGCCTTTTTCTTACCTAATTTGCTTGTTTTAGGTTGCATTGTTTTCATCAGAATTTGCATGACATTTTGGAATTTACTTGTATTGTTTAAATGAAACAGCAAAATGTAGTGAAATGAATATGGGCTTCACAGTTTGATAACTAAGTTTAAAGCCCTGTTCCTACATTGAACTGTCTGTGAAACCTTGAGCAACTCACTTAGGTTTTCTGCGAATGAAAGTAATGTCATGTACTTTATAGGATTATTCTAAGGATTAAATAAGTTTGATAATGTATATGAAGTACTCAAGTAGTGTAGTGTGTAGAACTTGTTGAAGCTAATTTTCCTTCCTTTTGTTTGGACATTTTTTAATTAATGCATTTTGAGGAGTATATGAAAAAGTTCACTTTTACATACTCAGAAACTATTTTTGTTCCAAATACAGGTAACACCGTGATTCACTTAGATCAAGCATTAGCCAGAATGAGGGAATATGAGCGCATGAAGACTGAGGCTGAAAGTAACTCAAATATGAGATGCACCTGCAGGATTATTGAGGATGAAGATGGTGCTGATGCAAGTACTACAGTTAATAATTTAGAAGGTATATATTTTTGTTTTCAGTAGGTTTTGGGGGGAACAGGTGGTGTTTGGTTACATGAATAAGTTCTTTAGTGGTGATTTCTGAGATTTTGGTGCACCCATCACCTGAGCAGTATACACTGTAACCAGTGTGTAGTCTTTTATCCCTCATCCGCTTCCCACCCTTTTCCCTGAAACCCCAAAGTCCATTGTATCCTGCTTATGCCTTTGCATCCTCATACCTTAGCTACCACTTATGAGTAAGCATGTGCAATGTTTGGTTTTCCATTCCTGAGTTACATCGCTTAGATTAATGGTCTCCAACTCTATCCAGATAGCTGCGAATGCCATTACTTTGTTCCTTTTTATGGTTAAGTAGTATGCTGTGGTGTATAAATAAATATATGTATATATCTACACATACATACATATACCACATTTTCTTTATCCACTCGTTGATTGATGGGCATTTGAGCTGGTTCCATATTTTGCAACTGCAGATTGTGCTGCTATAAACATGCTCATGCAAGTATCTTTTTCATATAATGACTTCTTCTCAGCAGATACCTAGTAGTAGGATTGCTGGATCAAATGGTAGATCTTCATACTGTTTTCCGTAGTGGTTGTACTAGTTTACATGCCAACCAGCACTGTCAAAGTGTTCCCTTTTTACCATGTCCACACTAAACGTCTCTTATTTTTTTATTTTTAAATTATGGCCATTCTTGCAGGAGTAGTATGGTATCACATTGTAGTTTGTGCTTTGATTTTCATTTCCCTGATAATTAGTGATTTTGAGCATTTTTTCATATGTTTGATGGCCATTTCTATATCTTCTTTTGAGAATAGTCTATATCCTTAGCCTACTATTACTACTACTACTATTTTTTTTTTTTTTAATCTGAGCACAGTCTTGCTCTGTTGTCCAGGCTAGAGTGCAGTCACACAACCTCAACTCACTGCATCTTCTGCCTGCCAGGCTGAACCGTGCCTCAGCCTCCCAAGTAGCAGGGATTATAGGCATGTGCCACCAAGCCCAGCTAAGTTTTGTATTTTTTAGTAGAGATGGGATTTCAGCATATTGTCCAGGCTGGTCTTGAACTCCTGGTCTCAAGTGGTCCGCCCACCTCGGCCTCCCAATGTGCTGGGATTACAGTTGTGAGCCACCACACCTGGCCTTAGCCCCCTTTTTGATGGGATTTTTTTTTCTTTTTTTCTTTTTTTTTTTTTTTTTGCTGATTTGAGTTCTTTGTAGATTCTGGGTATTAGTCCTTTGTCAGATGCATAGTTTACAAAGACTTTCTCACACTTTGTGGGTTGTCTGTTTACTCAGATGATTATTTCTTTTGCTGTGCAGAAACTTTTTAATTTAAGTTCCATCTGTTTATCTTTGTTTTTATTGCATTTGCTTTTGGGTTCTTGGTCATGACGTCTTTGCCTAAGTCAGTGTCTAGAAGGATTTTTCCAGTGTTATCTTCTAGAATTTTTGTGATTTCAGTTACTCGATTTAGAAGGTATATGTTTTATTGATTAGAAGTACTAATTCTGTATAAAAATTTTAAATATGTGATATAGTCGTTTTCTTACTACTTTAATTGATAGGGGTGCTAAAAGTACAAACATGTTTCTTTGTATTAGCATAAAATCAGAATTTAATATTCTTTAAATTTCAACATTAAGGCATATATGTATATATAATAGGCTTTTTTATGCTAATGTATCGTTTTCTTTTTAAAAATTAGAAACTCCCATTATTGAAAATCATAGTTCACAACAACCTGTAAGTGAAGTTTCTACCGTCCCATGTCCTAGAATTGATACTCAGCAGCTGGACCGGCAAATTAAAGCAATTATGAAAGAAGTCATTCCCTTTTTGAAGGTAAGCAGTTATTTTAAAAAATAAACAAAACTTTGTGTTTTGTTTTTTAATTCGTACAAAAGACCTTATTGTGATAAAGTTCAATGGTATAGGTAAACAAAAGAAAAAAAAACTATCACCCATAATTTTTTTACCCTGCCAACATTTTGCTTGCCGTACCAACATTCTGTAAACCTTTCAGTAATATTTTGTACACATGTGCATATTCTGCTTTTTTCATTTACTGTACCGTAAACTTCTTTCTAGATCATTATTTTTCTACTGCATTTTTTCAGGATTTATTACCTTTATTTTTATTTTATTTTATTTTTTATTTTTGTGAGTATTTAGTAGATGTATATATTTATGGGGTATGTGAAATAGTTTGATATAGGCATGCAATATGTAATAATCACATCATGGTAAATGGGGTATCCATCCCCTCAAGCATTTAACCTTTGTGTTGCATACAATCCAGTTATACTCTTTTATTTTTAAATGTATAAATTATTGACTGTAGTCACCCTATTGTGCTGTTAAATAATGCATCTTATTCATTCGTTCTGCTTTTTGTACCCATTAACCATCTCCCCTATTCCCTACTGCCCTTCATAGCCTCTGGTAACCATCCTTGTACACTTCATCTCCATGAGTTAAATTGTTTTAATTTTTAGCTCCCACAAGTGAGAACAAAGACAAACAGAAAGAAGTTTGTCTTTCTGTGCCTGGCTAACTTCACTTAACATAATGACCTCCAGTTCCATCCACGTTGTTGCAGATGACAAAGTCTCATTATTTTTTATGACTGAATAGTACTCCATTGTGTGTATGTACCACATTTTCTTTATCCGTTCATCTGTTGATGGACACTTAGGTTGCTTCCAAATCTTGGTTGTTGTGAACAGCACTGCAACTAACATGGGTGTGCAGATACCCCTTTAATACACTGATGTCCTTTCTTTTCTGTATATACCCAGCAGTGGGATTGCTGGATCATATGATAGCTCTAGCTCTATTTTTAGTTTCTTGAGCAACTTCTAAACTGTTCTTCAGAGGGGTTGTACTAATTTACATTCCCACCAGCAGTGTATGAGAGTTTCCTTTTCTGGTGAGTTTCCACATCCTAACCAGCATTTGTTATTACCTGTCTTTGGGATAAGTGCCATTTTAACAGGTGAGATGATTTCTCGTTGTAGTTTTGATTTGCATTTCTGTGATCATGTTGAGAACCTTTTATATGCCTGTTTGCTATTTGTATGTGGACTTTTGAGAAATGTGTATTCAGATCTTTTGCACATTTTTAAATTAGATTATTAGATTTTTTCCTATAGAGTTGTTTGAACTCTTTATATAATGCTGGTTATTAATCCCTTGTCAGATGGATGGTTTACACATATTTTCTCTCATTCTGTGGGTTGTCTTTTCACTTTGTTGTTTCTTTTGTTGTGCAGAAGCTTTTTAACTTGATGTGATCCCGTTTGTCTTCTTTTGCTTTGGTTGCCAGTGCTTGTGGGATATTACTCAAGAAATTTTTGCCTAGACCAATGTCCTGCAGAGTTTCCCCACTGTTTTCATATAGTAGTTTCATAGTATGAGGTCTTAGATTTATGTCTTTAATCCATTTTGATTTGACTTTTGTATATGGTGAGAGATAGAGGTCTAGTTTCATTCTTTTGCTTATGGATATCCATTTATCCCAACACCGTTTACTGTGAAGAGACTGTCTTTTCCCCAGTGTATGTTCTTGGCACCTTTGTTGAAAATGAGTTTATTGTAGGTATGTGCATTTGTTTCTGAGTTCTTTGTTCTATTGGTCTATGTGTCTGTTGTTTTTATGCCAGTACCATGCTGTTTTGGTTACTATAGCTGTGTAGTATAATTTGAAGGCAGGTAACGTGATTCTTCTAGTTTTGTTCTTTTTGCTCAGGATAGCTTTGTCTATTCTCAGCTTTTTTTGTGGTGCTATATAAATTTTAGGATTCTTTTTTCTAATTCTGTGAAGAATGTCATTGGTATTTTGATCACAATTGCATTGAATCTGTAGATTGCTTTGGGGAGTACAGACTTTTTTTTTTTTTAATACTTTAAGTTCTAGGGTACATGCGCACAGCGTGCAGGTTTGTTACATATGTATACATGTGCCATGTTGGTGTGCTGCACCCATTAACTCGTCATTTGCATTAGGTATATCTCCTAATGCTGTCCCTTCCCCCACACCCTCCCCACAATAGGACCCAGTGTGTGATGATCCCCTTCCTGTGTCCAAGTGATCTCATTGTTCAATTCCCACCTATGAGTGAGAACATGCGGTATTTGGTTTTCTGTTCTTGCGATAGTTTGCTGAGAATGATGGTTTCCAGCTGCATCCATGTCCCTACAAAGGACACGAACTCATCCTTTTTTATGGCTGCATAGTTTTCCATGGTGTATATGTGCCACATTTTCTTAATCCAGTCTGTCACTGATGGACATTTGGGTTGATTCCAAGTCTTTGCTATTGTGAATAGTGCCGCAATAAACATACGTGTGCGTGTGTCTTTATAGCAGCATGACTTACAATCCTCTGGGTATATCCCCAGTAAGGGGATGGCTGGGTCAAATGGTATTTCTAGTTCTAGATCCTTGAGGAATAAATTTCCCTCTACACACTGCTTTAAATGTGTCCCAGAGATTCTGGTATGTTGTACCTTTGTTCTTATTGGTTTCAAAGAACATCTTTATTTCTGCCTTCATTTCATTATGTACCCAGTAGTCATTCAGGAGCAGGTTGTTCAGTTTCCATGTAGTTGAGCGGTTTTGATTGAGTTTCTTAGTCCTGAGTTCTAGTTTGATTGCACTGTGGTCTGAGAGACAGTTTGTGATAATTTCTGTTGTTTTACATTTGCTGAGGAGTGCTTTACTTCCAACTACGTGGTCAATTTTGGAATAAGTGTGATGTGGTGCTGAGAAGAATGTATATTCTGTTGATTTGGGGTGGAGGGTTCTGTAGATGTCTTATTAGGTCCGCTTGGTGCAGAGTTGAGTTCAATTCCTGGATATCCTTGTTAACTTTCTGTCTCGTTGATCTTGTCTAATGTTGACAGTGGGGTGTTAAAGTCTCCCATTATTATTGTATGGGAGTCTCTAAGTCTCTTGGTAAGTCTCTAAGGACTTCCTTTATGAATCTGGGTGCTCCTGTATTGGGTGCATATATATTTAGGATAGTTAGCTCTTCCTGATGAATTGATCGCTTTACCATTATGTAATGGTCTTCTTTGTCTCTTTTGATCTTTGATGGTTTAAAGTCTGTTTTATCAGAGACTAGGATTGCAACCCCTGCTTTTTTTGTTTTCCATTTGCTTGGTAGATCTTCCTCCATCCCTTTATTCTGAGCCTATGTGTGTCTCTGCATGTGAGATGGGTCTCTTGAATGCAGCAAACTGATGGGTCTTGACTCTTTATCCAATTTGCCAGTCTGTGTCTTTTAATTGGACCATTTAGTCCATTCACATTTAAGGTTAATATTGTTATGTGTGAACTTGATCCTGTCATTATGATACTAGCTGGTTATTTTGCTCGCTAGTTGATGCAGTTTCTTCCTAGCATTGATTGACTTTACATTTTGACGTGTTTTTGCAATGGCTGGTACCTGTTGTTCCTTTCCATATTTAGTGCTTCCTTCAGGATCTCTTGTAGGGCAGGCCTGGTGGTGACAAAATCTCTAAGCATTTGCTTGTCTGTAAAGGATTTTATTTCTCCGTCACTTATGATACTTAGTTTGGCTGGATATGAAATTCTGGGCTTAAAATTCTTTTCTTTAAGAATGTTGAATATTGGCCCCCACTCTCTTCTGGCTTGGAGAGTTTCTGCCAAGAGATCTGCTGTTAGTCTGATGGGCTTCCCTTTGTGTGTAACCTGACCTTTCTCTCTGGCTGCCCTTAACATTTTTTCCTTCATTTCAACTTCGGTGAATCTGACAATTGTGTGTCTTGGAATTGCTCTTCTCGAGGAGTATCTTTGTGCCATTCTCTGTATTTCCTGAATTTGAATGTTGGCCTGCCTTACTAGGTTGGGGAAGTTCTCCTGGATGATATCCTGCAGAGTGTTTTCCAACTTGGTTCCATTTTCCCCATCACTTTCAGGCACACCAATCAGACGTAGATTTGGTCTTTTCACATAATCCCATATTTCTTGGAGGCTTTGTTCATTTCTTTTTACTCTTTTTTTCTCTACACTTCTCTTCTCGCTTCATTTCATTCATTTGATCTTCAGTTACTGATACTCTTTCTTCCAGTTGATCGAGTCGGTTACTGAAGCTTGTGCATTTGTCATGTAGTTCTTGTGTTATGGTTTTCATCTCTATCAGTTCTTTTAAGGTCTTCTCTGCATTGATTAGTTATCCATTCATCCATTCTTTTTTCAAGGTGTTTAGTTTCTTTGCGCTGGTTACGTAGTTCCTCCTTTAGCTCTGAGAAGTTTGATGGATTGAAGCCTTCTTCTCTCGACTTGTCAAAGTCATTCTCCGTCCAGCTTTGTTCCATTGCTGGTGATGAGCTGCATTCCTTTGGAGGGGGAGATGCGCTCTGATTTTTTGAATTTCCAGCTTTTCTGCCCTGCTTTTTCCCCATCTTTGTGGTTTTATCTGCCTTTGGTCTTTGACGATGGTGATGTACTGATGGGTTTTTGGTGTGGGTGTCCTTTCTGTTTGTTACTTTTCCTTCTAACAGTCAGGACCCTCAGCTGTAGGTCTGTTGGAGTTTGCTTGAGGTCCACTCCAGACCCTGTTTGCCTGAGTGTCATCAGCAGCAGAGGCTGCAGAAGATAGAATATTGCTGAACAGCGAGTGTTGCTGTCTGATTGTTGCTCTGGAATCTTCGTCTCAGGGGTGTACCCTGCCGTGTGAGGTGTGAGGTGTGGGTCTGCACCTAGTGGGGCATGTCTCCCAGTTAGGCCACTCGGGTCAGGGACCCACTTGAGCAGGCAGTCTGTCTGTTCTCAGATCTCAACCTCTGTGCTGGGATATCCACTGCTGTCTTAAAAGC